GGCAGTAAAACTGAGGACTTTAGAAAACAGTGTCTTTTTGAAACGGCGGATGGTAGGTCCCTGGGTGTACTTACGTAAGTCAGAGGGATCACTTAGTTCAGTGTCTTCAGTCGTAGTGTGGCAACCTTTGATTTATGCTTGTTTTCGATCGATGTTCCTGGATACGTTCTGCCAATTATTCGTCTGTGGAAAAAAATTCATTGTTGTCGTGAGCATTACAAGAGGAACGCAAAGTGTTTGACAGACTGTCATGTTTATTTCATTCAAACTATGCACCTATTTGTTTGGGATTTCGACCCTGAAAATTTTTAATTTTAGGTTATTTTTGTTCAGTGTTTTTAAAACGTCCTCCCTGTACAGCTTGGAATTGAAGGATTTATGTGAGACTTGTTATAATCACTAAGAGAATAATGTATTCACTTTGATCACTCATAATTTACGAATGGACGTCCGGAACCTGAGTTAAAACACTTCAAAGTATGCTTTATCTACATATCTAAGCAGCATACTGAGGCAACTTCAACAAAACTTAATTAACGTCGTAAAGTTATCAAATGAATTCTAACCAGAGATTTCAGGATCACCTATCAAAAAAACGAAAAATTGTAAGCCGGGGTATTATATCTTTATACACTCTCATTCAAATTGATAGATATGTAGGCTTTATTGATGGTTTAATGGAGAATAATAATACTCTATCTAGCAGATGTCCATTAAACGTTAAATTATTCACGAGATTTCTCATGCTATGCTTGAGTTCAACACTATTCACCTTCAAAGGGACCTCATAAAAGCAAAAAAATATGGTAGTCATAGGTCTTAACTATATCAGATTTTTGCTAGTTTATTTAAATATCACTTTGAGTCAATCAATTCTGCCATTACCACCAAATTACACATCCGGTTCAGACATGTGGATGACACATTTGTCATTGTTGAAGACTGTTCTTACGAATTTCCCGAAACAGATAAACATGTTCTCAGAAAACATTAAATTCATCTTTGAAAAGCGAAATGAGCATTTTAAACTATCACTCTTAGACCATTTAGGTGAAGGCCATTCTAATGGGAGTTTAAACCTAATCATATACCTTAAACTGATACGTTCAAATCAGTATCCCAATGAATGGTCTTTGATTGCTACTATAGATTTGCTTCACCATGACGTGCGACAAGAAAATTGCAACGGATCTTGATAATTTACAAAATCAAATCCTTCCAAAGGACAACCAAAATTAAGAAGGGCTTTAGTTCGAATGAAAGATAAGGCCCAATTCATTTTCAAACAGAACTGGGTACATATTAAGTTGTATCGATTGCGGTGTGTTCTATATTTGCAAGTCTTCTTATGAGATCTCAACTGGTGCACAGAAACAAGTAGGTTACAAAAAAGAACCAATATCTATATAGGACTGGAAAATCGGCAATAGAAATACTGTTTTCAGCAATCATTAAATTAATATCAAAAACATCATAATAACTCGGGAGGATTTTAATAGTATTTAAAGGCTGTGCTTAGTCGAAGATATTCACATAATGCTAAATCCCCCTTGTTTTCAGTAAGAAATAACGTCTGGACATTCATCCAATCTGGAATGTTTTTCCAGAAAACTACATTGGACCTTATTCATTTTCCACACAATCTGCACACACACGCATCCGATTTCGATCCTAATACATCATAATACGTATACAGACATTTTCCACTTTTCATACCTGCCTTCTGACTAAAAGATCAATGTAGCGATATGTCATACAGGATAACTTTAGCTAAAATAACATGATAATTACATACTCATATCTGTTATGATTTTGACTGTACTGCGAATATTCTGCATTATTTCCTTTGTACTACTTGAACATGTGTTAATTGAAGTCATTTGTTTTCCTCGGAGAAGTGACCTTCATTAAATCATGATATGTCAGAGATATAATTTCCTACACATTGAAATGATGTACGTATTATTAGCAACAACAGGTTTTGCAGAATAATAATTCATTTTACTTCTTATTCCTTTTGTCAGATGGAAAAAGCCTAATTTACATGGAGAAACATCATAAGTAACTTTTTAGCGAACCTTAGTTATAGAGATCTCGATAGATATTTGATACTTAATCAAAATCATGAGACGAAGAACAGGACACGAATTTTTTGCATCAAACAAATAAGATCGATATGTATTTATGTGCAGGAGAGACGTGACGTGGAGTAGAATTGATATCTTAACAAATGTAATCATAGTGAAAAGAAAATAATTTATGTAAGTGTAGCAAAATTAGCAACCGATTAATATGTTTCTCGACTGAGTTCCAGATTTGACTTATACGCTCTGCTAGTAACCCCAAAACACGACGACGATAAAACTAGTCGAAAATACATTCATTTATATACCGATTTGTGTACCGATTTTTAATAATAATTAGGACTGAATTCCATTTATGAAGAACACTTACAGTTGTAACAAATCACATGCTGCATGTCATGCTAGGCATAGTTCATGTTAATTTAGTATAAGAAAATTGTATGTTATACAGAATATCATACGGGAAAAAAGCAAATAATGCATTGATTAATCATCACACAGAATTAAAACAGAAGTAACGTTGAACAAAATTTGATTCTTTTGTTCGTATCAAGAACCTAGTATCTCCACGCCAAGTAAAGTCACCAGAATGTGACAAAATCTGTTCAATAATCTTGAACTAGTGTGCATAGACCACCGGTACACTGTACGTGATTTGTTCATGCACTTAGTAGGGTCGCAGGATCTTTCAAGAGAATGAACTCAGGCTTCTCACTCCTTAGTCTTTAAAAGAAGACATTGCAGATTAGTCGCATTACTGACAGTACTGTTGAGGTAATGAAAGGGTTAGTAAATAAACAAACAGGAGAACGTATGGACAACAACAACATCCTCCATGAACTGTAGCACAGATTTAGGAAAGATAGGGTTTGTAGGTCCAATTTTCCTACAGAGTGGAACAGCTGGAAAATCTGCTGAGACCAAACGTTACCAGTCCATGCAATATTTCTTGGCTTCTCAGAAGCCTTCTATAAAATGACGCACGAACTCCTCAAAGCTAAGTCAGTGAACATAGGTTTCATTGACCATCTACTTTGGCTCTGAAACCACCCAAAGAATTAGAGTACATAATGAGGTATGCGAATTACAGTCAGAGCAACAGGCGTTTCATAGGGGACTATTTTAAGTCAATGCCTCACTTTGATCTTTGTCGGTGACTTTAATGATAAAATGAGCTTGGTGGCTCTGGTGCATACAAACGACATAAATAACGAAATGTGTTCACTTGAGCTTAAAAATGACCTCACAACACCAGAGGAATGGGCAGTACACAATAGGTTGAAACATGACCTGTCGAACATTCTGCTTCAATTAACACAAAGAATCCACTCTGTTTATGGAAACGTTTCCCCGATAGTATCCCCAAATAATGACCTAAAAATAGTGTAACCACAAAGAGTTTGGACACCAGCTCAAAATACATAGGCACGAATCTCTAAGACCAGGCATAGAAACGGACATCCAAATAGTGACAGGGCCAAACAAGAAGATTCCAACACTCGAGATATCGTCGTTGAGCTATGGTAAAATTAGTGGTAACCTGTAAATTGAATGCGACATACTGATTTAATAAATTTACCCCAGTATGTGGATCCTGTCAGAACATCATTACTACGCCTCCTGAAACAACCCCCGGTAAACTGCACATCAAAGTGAACAACCAGGTACTCTCTCAATTTTTCACATTAAGAGTTCCCCCCTACTTCGAATGTTCTGCGTGGGGAGGTGACCACAGCCTACTCAGTACGTAATTTCAAGGAGAGATTCGACAAACACCCACTCACTTAAGGACTGCCACTGCAAGCTTGAAGCCGGCGTACCAGATAAATGTCCCATTATTTATGACTGTCTTCATAATCACATATTGGTAACTTCTCTCTATTTTCCTCATTATAATATCTTCTTCCCATTCAATTCTTACACTCCGACGTCTTCATATTGTTTGCATTGCCAACTCACCAACATATTTATTTATAGTTTGTGATTGTGGAGATTTATATTTTCATTGAATTCATGACCGACCATTGTAAGACCACCATTGAAAATTCGGATGAACAGGACGGCCGTTTCGTCCTAGTATGGACCTCCTCACCAGTGTGTTTTCACGATCTACCACGTGGTATTTGGACCCAGGACCTCCGGTCTTAGGAGAAAGCTTAAACTCTAGATCACTGAGCTGGTGTCCAACGGTGGCATCAGTACCTGAAGTTGCTAACTTCTAGTCCGAGCCATGTTAGCTTCCCTTAGTCCATGGGATCTAAATTGCTTCATTTCTTTCTACCAACTAATTCTTTCTTTTTGTACTATATTCCTACATAAAATCTTTCTTTTATATATTACACCATTGAGTTCATCTTGCTGTGGTAATGCGGTATGGCAACTTGTCTTAGGCGAGTAACTGCCTCAGACTCAACGCGGTTGAGCTCGACCAGCTACGGTTTCCCACCAGAACTTTGAGAATTCCCTATCTAAGCTAGTCACCAGTCAGCACATTGTAACTTTCAGTTCTGTGTTATGAGTTGCTGTATCTTGCGGAAAATTGGAATTATTGCGTTACTTAGTAATGTGTATGACTGTCCGTCGCTACATGCGTTAAGCTAACAATCTGACGCAACAACAGAACATACTTTCCATTTCATGTTGACTACAAAAATATAGTTTCGTGGAATGACTACAAGTGTTATCAATATTAATAGTACTTTGGATTCTTCATAACTGTCACAACACTTTTCGTTGTGCTTCGCGTATTCCTCAGGATTAACTGGAGTATTAGTGAACCAAAAGATTCAGTACCCAGGTACTTTAAAGGTCTATCTCTCACTTACATATGCACATGAAGGTGAATAGACCTCAAATTACGGTGGAATACCTTGTTTGATTTAGATATATTCTAGTGTCATGGGAGTATCCTAAGTTATGATAGTGTTTATCTGGATAACATTGTCATTCACGCTCATGGGCTACATCTTCTGCGTGATTTTAAGGTAAGCCGATTTAATTCACATCTGTAGCAAGTGTATGGTGATTGAAAGAACTCAGCCTACTGTAAAAATGCTCATCTTCAGCAAAGAGTATTTAAGGCCGAAAAAGCGTGTGCATGAGTGGGTTACTTGTGATTTCTTTAATTTTTTCTCATAGGCCAACAGATGCTTACTTCGATCACACAAAGGTTACAATTGGAAGTAGATCTAACGAAGCTCTGCAATCGGTAATCTCAATTTATTCATCTGATTGTTTAGATATTTGACTTACTACTTAAAGAGTACATCGAATTTTGGTATAGGTATGTATGATCGTCCGATACTATATATCTTCAGGCCGTTCACTTCAAACCCAGATTTTATGGTGCAGTTGAAAATGTTTTTACAATATGCTTGTGCTGTAATTATCCAAAGAGTTAAAGATGTATGTTTCTTTAGTAGAAAAATCTTTACTCTACAGATCGATCTTTCGGAGTTCATTGTTAACCGGTTTATCCCACATTTCTTCGACCATATTGTACATATTTTATCACTTACTTGTTCTGGTAAGCTATGTTCCTTTCATACTCGTTCAGTTTTAGTGTTTAACTTGTGCTTGCACTTCAAAATGATACAAATCTTGAATGTGCACACTTACACGAACATCTTGTGTGTCTAGCTTATTTCAGACTTTTCTTGAAGTCAAGTTTATTTGACTATCTAGTCCAATCATATTGTCTGTTTGCATCCATTATAGATTTTCGTAAACTAAGTTTAAAGCGCTTTATAGATTGATCAGTAAAAATTTAACCTCCGTATATTAATAAAATGCATTTACTTAGACAAAAATATCATATTGCCGCATAGATATCTACCATAATGTGTTTATAATAGAGATTGATGACTTTTCCGGCACAACGTTTATTTATATTTAACACTTGTTGTATTCAAAGTAAATAAAAGGTGGTTGAATACTGATGAGTGTTTTGATGGAATCTGATTTGCCAAAACTTTTCCACCAATGTAAGGGCATTTTGTTTACATCATTTTGAGTGTGCTTTAATTTTCTGATATTGTTGGCAATCGTCAAGTTACTAGCGTTATTCAATTAAATAGCAAGCTGGTTTTGTTAGCCATTCAATTTCATGGGGTTATTAGAGACATATTCCGTATCCCAAGACTGTTGATTAGAACTAAACCTAGGGTTTTAATGAACATTTCAAATAATTCTTTGCCGTCAAGTTTTCAGTCTCATTCACAAAATTATTTGTCAGTAGTTTCAGTAATTAAGTATGAGGCTTTTCATTTGAATTAAATATTTCTTGCCGATTATGTCCTCTCCCATTAATCACTTTACTTTGTTTAACTCGTAACCATTATGTTACCATTTTCCTTTCTTGAGAGTAAGTGTTGATGCCATTCTATAAAGTCGTACTTATGGATTAACTAGACCAACTAAATAATCGGTATGAAATAATAAAATGAAATCGCTTTATATTTATGTCAGACTTGTTACTTCAGGCGTGAGTAGGTCGTAATATACTTAATATACTCAATTTAGGTTACTGTCATTTAAACCAAGAAATTTCCACACAAGTGAATTTTTTCCCATGGAATACCGAATACTAATGATCTTTGAATTTCCGCCATTGTAAACGATGAGAAATCTACATAATGAAAATCTAGGATATAACGTAATAGGAACAATGATTATTGTCACTTCTATTATTCAGATAAATGTATTAGTCCTTTTTAAACAACTAGCAATATTTTCCAAACAGTAGAAATTTTATTGGCTATTTAGGCAAATGGTTTGATAAAAATATTTATCATCTGCCTCAACGATCATTTATAGTACTGTTAGATAATACAATAAATCTATTTCTGATGCACATTAATTATGTATCGAAAGTTGTTTTTATTGTTTTTCGGCTTCGTAGATTATATAGGCCAATGTTTTTGGTGTTGTAGTTTGGTGGGGAAGTCATGGTAGAGATATACTCAGGCAATCGATCTCGAAGACTAAAATACGACAGATCTTGCCGAAATTTGTACTCAGGCTTTCATTCATCTAGGAAATAGTAATCAAATATTGAGTCATGAAACTATAACCTGTGAGGTCACCTACCTGTGTCTAAGTAGTGAGTCAGATGCATTATAAACTTAAAAATCGAATAGTTCAACCCCCAATTGACCACTTCACTACTCGTTAAATTAGATTTGTTCTAGTATGTTGCAAAACGTTGTGTATATATGTTCTGCCGTGAAATGGTACATTATATTCGATATCTCCACGTTATGACGGCGCGCATCGTTAAATGTTTGTTCATCCTTTATTTATTTCATCTATAGATAAGTTAAATACTACCGGTGTTGGTGACACACACGAGGAAACTCGGACCATGTTGAAGGAGAATCATTCCCGTAAAAGGTATCTGACCTTTAGATGTTTATTAATTTTCATACTTTTAAAGTCCGTTGAAATCTTGTTCCGAAGAAGCTGTTTTGTGTGCTTTTGGAGATCGACTACATGCAGCTCTGTATTCAAGACAAGCTGAAGTAATGTATTTACGTGCAGTAGTCAACCGGTTATTACCAGTTCTCGGCATGCCGCCCAGTCTTTCATCATCAGAAATGTATAAATCAAAAGAGCCTTCTGTTGATCACGGTCATCGCTTTCGACGTAATCGTGTTATGCACAACTCTCCCGGACATGCGTATGGTAGTTCAGAGCGTAGTCGTAAATCACCTGTTGTTTCACGGAGTGCTTCAACTAGTGCGTTATTTTTCCAGAAGTTTATGGAACTGGGTTGTAATCCGTAAGTAACAGGATGTATATTGTCCATTCATTTGCATACTGTTAATCTAGAAAATTTTTCTTGATAATTTAAATTTCACGCAAAATCCTAATGAAAGAATTGAGATAGTTGTTTATTTCTCTTCCTCGATGATAAGTTAACGTTAAGTAAAAATGAACCTAGTAGAGGTATTTAACACTGGCCATTCCTCATAAAGCTTTTGTTACAAAGTAAACGGTGATTCTAAGAGTTTGCTTAAAATATCCACATACTTCATTTACGTTTATGTAAACCACTAACAAAAATAAATCTGTAATCGTTCATGAACAGCTTGAGTTATCTTCTTTTTATGTTAGCATGAGATGAAGGGAGTTAGAACTGATGCACATTTATACCAATTTCTCGAATGCATGTGACTAGCTGACATGAACAGCTAATTTACATTCAGTCAGTAGGTCACAATGTAGAACCTGTACAAATGTACATTGATTCAAGTTCCCATACCCCATTAGCACAGAAAGATAAAGTTGCCAAGTCAAATCCCAGAATAGTAGAGGTAGCAACAGTATCAGTGGTAATAGGATTTCAAGTGTTTATTTTATGGAAAAATTATAGTACGATAGGGCACACAAAAATTCGCACAATGAAAAGTGATGACACTGTGAAAAGAACAAGAAGAGTAGGGTAGTACAATCAGTTGATAAATGACTAATTGTATTGTATGTTATGAGATACGGTTCAGTTTAAATTACAGATAAAATCTACGTTCGGTTATGGGAGTTTTTCTCACTTGCATAATAATGGTAGTGGAAAACTACAGCAACACTGCCACTCCAAGGCATATCTAATGAAGTGTCCAACCACTGAGGTATACAATCTCTAGGACGCCGACCGGGGTGTTTTTATGAACAGAAGGATGTCAGCCATACTTAACTGTCATTCATACTGCGCCACCACGTGATAAACTGGACACCTATCCACTTTTTGCACTCAGTTCCAGTGTCGATAAATGATGCACGATGTAGAAATCCTTGGGACAATTCATATGGCATCAGCCCTTGTGTATACCAACCTGGTTTAAGTGTCGCACATCCGCTCTCCATCCTCACTTTTGTAAAACTCTCACCACATGAGGGAAACGAACAGAAATTTCATTAGAGAGGTCATGATGCGCGACTATTTCAAGAGACAGAACGAACTCTTCCCACCTTCAACCGTATCAAAACGTTTTAGACATTAGTCATAAAGTAGGAACTAGTCATGATTATTCATTTGATATTCACACAGCACGGTGACATTAATAAGAGTCGAATTCGAAATGACTTAGGTATGTGTAGCAAATAATTCAGAAGAAATCAATGAAGTTATATTAAAGGAGTGAATGTATTTCCGTCATTGCTGCTTAATGTTAAAGTATATCATCTAAAGTCTCTAACCATCGATAACAATTATTGCATGTTGACCATGGAGAAAGTGTTTGTATTCTAGGACATGGTTTATTTCACGTGACAGAAATATTGTAGAGTTATCCCATATCCCCTGGTTTGACCACCTCTAACTTTCTTATAACTTATTCTTACATCAGTAATCAGTGCATCTTGTAATAAGTTGTGAATGAGAACATGTAACACACGAAAATACACAGACAACTCATCAACCAACCAGTAACGGTGCGTTTTATTAATGTAGATAATATGTTGATGTTTTTTTACTACAAATTTAACAGCTCTGTTGTTATTTCGAAATATTAATGTAATGCTTTTAATTTTCAGATCGTTGTCTAGTTTTTTAATAGAAATACTATCTACTTGTGTTTTATTGCCTGCTATGGACATTTTAGCTAATTCTGTAAGTTAAATGTTTTGTCATATGTATATTCATGTGACTTTTTTCTAATAGTATTTACGAAGTAAAAGATTACATGGTAAAGTAAGAAACACCTTGATCATTCATACATTCTGTCGAGGACTACTGAACTGTAAATAATGTTTTAATTACCATTGGTTTTTAACACTGGTGTTTCTTCTTATTTAAAACGTGTTAGTTGGATATATTTACATTCAGTTCTTGATGTTCACTATAAGACTCGAACTTAGTATTGCTATATTTGGATTTAATTGATATTACTCTATGAGATTTACCAATCAGTATCCAGACTCTAATTCTCTACCTTAAGTATACTTATTTCATCTCTGTCTTAATGTCCTATACTTTGAACAGTCATACGTTTTGACTGATAACAACGATTGACGTTGAACTATAGAGTAAAAATAGTGCAAAGTGTATCATCTGTTTAATTATGTTCATTTAGATCGTATGTAACAAGATAAGTTGACACTATCCCTAAATCATAACCCTGAAACCTTAATTCTGGAATGGACCATTAACCTGATGGTTGAGTGAAACTCATTCATCCATATAGGCATAGAGTACTTTTATATCATGACTGATATCAGTTCGCGAGGAAAACCCTAACACTAACCAGGAACAGTGTGAGGACTTAAAAATCTGTTTGGCTCCTTCTAAAGGTTCGAAGGTAAGGACAATTTATATCTATTTAGGGGATTTTATGTATCGTTGGTTTTCCGAATAACTGATAGGGTAATCTATTTAGACACCACCGATTCATCGATTAACGCAAAATCTGTTTACATTGTGTAATATTATTGCTTGGTTCTTTTTAATAAGCTATACATTTATGAAAGCTCTTTTCTGATTGGTTGGAAACTAACTGTAAACTTATCGTGAATACTTTGAGCTCGTTCTCATACTACTCTGTCACTATATTATCCAATACTTAATCTTACTTCACTATCATTAATACTATTATAATTTTGGCTCGTTTTTCAATCCTGTAAATTTCATTTTATTATGCTGATATAAGGATGATAACGTAGGCTAACACACCCTTGTTCCAGGATCCACGTTCATCATAACTGTCTGATTAGTCCTATCAGTTAATGCTTAGTGTATGTTTAACTCATAAATCTAATGCAAACGTTTGCCTGGTTGATCGATCATATCATGAGAATAGAAATAACTTAAGTCTTCGCTCTAAAACTTTATATTGCTACACCATAAGTATCTTCATTCATCTTTTGGGAGTTTTCTCAGCATTTCTCATATGTATTCGTTTTTTTTAGAATGAAAGTATGATATCATATTCAATTTTTTCTAGTCTATTAAAATGTACCCATAGTAATGATCCAATTTTTCCTTTACACACCAAATGTTCTACATACTTGGTTATATTGACCAAGTTAGAGAGATAGAAAAAAACACGATTAAAAAGGATAACTAATTATGTTTTTTTTGTCAGAGTAAATCTAAGAAGTAGTTGTATCAATTCGGTTTTTTTAATCAAATAACCCAATAAGAGTAGAGAATAAATATCCATTATTCTCTATTAGCAAACAAAATTGAAATAGGTCATAAGATTGATCTTAACTACTCGGCTTTTGTGGTATTGTATAAAAATGTAAAAGGGCGTATACTAGGGTTTATTGAAGACTTAGCCATGCGAAAATTCGCCCCCCCCTGGTGATATCAGTTTATTATCCAAAAGTGATGAGGTTCCAAATTGTTTTCACATTATCATTTTCATTATTATCCTTGTTTTCTCTTATCCTCCATTTCTAGTCTAGTTGATTTTTTGATTTTTATATATAAATGTTCTTAACAGTTTATATATATTTTTTAGTAGTTAGGATCATAAGTCAATTAAAGCTAGATCACCATGGAAAACCTGGAAGCACTAGACGGCCGTTTTGTCCTATTGTGGGGCTCCTCAGTATTGTGCATCTACGATCCCACCTCGCGAGATTCGAACCCAGGACCTATCGGTCTCGCGCACGGACGCTTAATCTCTAGACCACTGAGCCAGCATCCAACGGTGTTAATGTCTAACTTCAACTAATCCACGAAATTGAGCGACATATCCACCATTGTCTTCAATGAGTTATTATCTCAACAGACCTGGTTGAACTTCATTTATCCTTATTTATTTATTCATTTGAACACATATATTGGTATAAGGTGGCATCAGATACATATGCACCACACAAATCTCATTTGATTTTTGTAAGGGCTGTGATACTGACCGGGTGCCCAAATTGAACTATGTGGTTTCTTGGGATTCCATAGTCGGAACCTTCGACCTAAAGGTCTGATCCACAAGGCAGTGGAGTATCTTAAGGAGATGCAGTCCCATGGTAGCCGGTGACCAACGATTGGTTCACACGCCATTTGTTCCTTCAGAATACTGGAACCCGTGTGCACTGTTGGTTTGGAATAAAGGTTTCCCAACTGCCCTAGATGAATCCCGCATATCCACCGACCCAGTTAAATCTCGGGACATTCGCTTTTTGTCCTCTAAATTTTGTAAACAACGCCGCCGCTGTGAGAAGGCAGTGATTAGGACTTCACCGGCAGTGGTTGTATGCACGTGGCCATGTGAGAGAATTTGTAGCGGGAGAGCTGACTCTCCCTACTCTCGGTTGTACCAGGGCATTTGGGTAGATAACAGACGTAAGTAAGTAGGTAAGGAACTTTTCGACAGTACCGCGTATTTATACAAACCAACCCGGTTAAAGCGCCGGACATTCGATTTTCGTTTTCTCACTTTCGTAACCAACAGTAATGCTACGAGAAGTCAGTGAGTAGGACTTCCCTGGCAGAGGCCATATACGTCTGGCCACTTCAGAGTATTTGGGGAGAGAGAGAGCCGACTCCTCACTCTCAGCCGTACTAGGACATTTGTGGGCCTATTGAAATTTGTGTGGCGCATATGTATCTAGTATCCCCTTGTACCTTGGTCCACTGTGATCAGACTGTTCGAAATGTATTACACTAATATACCATCACATAGTTCTGATAATCTTCATCTTCTTATATTACACTATTGAAATTTATCAAAGAGACTAATTGCTTTAAATTATTTTACTCTATTTCAACTTTTTATTGTGATTTGTTTTCATTCTTGGTTTAATTTTATTCTTCAACTCATGCAACAGCTTATCGCAGTTGAAATTTCTATTCCTTATTTTTAAAGTTTCAATAAAGGTGAGCTATTGAATGAGTTTAGAGTTTAAATGTATACACAGAATAAACATTAGTCAGTTAGTTATTAAACAACTTAGAACCTAATTCATATTGTCACATCCTATCAACACAGTGAGTATATTAAATTAGTATGAATTATAACAATATGAAATGATAGTAGAAAAGATTTGACAGAATAAAAATAAAATTCATGTTCTATATGTATGGATAAATAATCTTGATTGTCATCTTGAATTATGCATAATCTTATCAATCAATGATCTTGTTGATAGTTTCTAAGGTCATTTCATTTTTATTATTTAAACTCTCATTCTGTAGTTAACAAAAAAATTTACGTTATTGATTTTTTCCCCCCACCCCACACTCTTTCTCTCCCCTACTTTGTTGCACACTTCCAAATTATCGGATGAATATTTGAAGGATTTTGTCAATCATTTGATTCTGCTATGTTTTCCTGAATGTACAGTAAGTTTATCATGGTCTATTTTTAGTAAATAATAACATGACTTTATTGTATATTGATCTGGTCGGCGGCCTATGCTCCGTTAGGAGTAACAGGCGTAAGTAAGTAAGTAAGTAATTGTATATTGATGTTCAATTCGTTACAGGTCGATGATAGTTACGTTTTAACATAGCGTAACTATCGAGATTATTCTAATACGAATAAGTTCTATCTTATTTAATATATTTAAACACATAAACATTGGTACAAGAAGTCACCAAACAAATATGCGCTGCACAAATCATTTGATTTATATAAGGGCTGAGATACTTCCGGGATGTTCAAACCGAAGCAGGTGGTTTTCTTAGGTGGACACACCCCGAGCCTTTGACCTAAGGTCTAATCCACAAGACAGTGGGGCAACTTCAGGAGATGCATTCCCACGGCAGCCGGTGACCAACAATATGTCCATACGCCATTTGTTTCCTTAGGATCCTGGATCCCATATACACCATTGGTTTGGAATCAGGGTTTCCCAACTCCCCTAAGTGGACCCTCTGTGTCCACTAACCCGGTTAAAGCGCCGGACATTCGCTTTTCATCCTTTCAATTTAGTAAAAAACACCAGTGGTGCAAAAAGGCAGTGAATAGGACTTCCCTGTCAGTGGTTGTATGGACATGGCCATGTGAGAGCATTTGGAGAGGGAGAGATGACACTACCCACTCTTGGCCGTACCAGGGTATTTAGGAGTAAAGGTTGTGATCGAGGTGAAATTCGAACACACGCTCTTTCTGACTGGCCGACGGTAGTTAGGCAATAACGTGGCGATCAAGATTATTCTAATACGAATAGTTTCTATCTGCAACTCTTTAGAATGGCAATACTTGAATGTTATTAGTTCATACCACTAATATGAGATGGGAAAAAAGACGGGACTTTTAGGATAACGTATTCTGCAAGGATTTTCAACATTTGTATTTTCTGAACATGTTCATGGACATCGACTTCTTAATCTGGTTTCTAGTCCGCTGAAGTTTACTACTCTTTAACCTTAAGCTATGAGCGTTGGAATTATAGAAGAAGCTTTACTTAAAAGGTTCATTTATGTTTGGAGAACAAAGATATCTTTGTGATTATCTATTGTTTTGATATTCTATAAACCTCTGGAGAATATGCTAAATAATTTTTGACAAATTCGTTAAATGTTCAGTCAGGATAATGAAAGCATAATCGATTGTTTTCCCGAAGTTTACACAATTGTTGATCGGTAGAAGTATTTCCTTTTTTTAAAAAAATTATCGACAACTCTTAACAATTAACCTATGAAGACTCTTACAAAGCCGATCTTAATAACGACACTGACAAAATTTCAAAATCCTCTTACTAGAAGTTTATAGACATTCAAAAGTTCTTGCAATCGTAATCTTTAAGTAAAGCCTTAATTATGTCACAATGTTTTGTGTTCGGTTCAAGGTCCCAAAAGTGTTATAGGTGTTTGTTCTGTTGAAAACTTCATTTTTTACAAACATTTGACACTGGGAAATAGCTGTATAACCGCAACTGCCGTAATATGACCGAGGCTGGGGATAGTCAGATCCCCTCTCGGTATGCTCTCACATAGTCAGGCGTATGCCGGACATTCAATCGCCATCGCATCAACGTGAAATCTGAGATGAAGATACATCCAGCTGACGAGTTCGAAATAGGACAAAACGCGCGTCTTGGATTCCACTGCTAACCACTATCCATCTTTGCTTATAAATATATTAATTTATTTATAAATCATCGTTTAGTTACCGTGTAGTTTCATTTTGGCTTTTAATTCTATTTCAAATATACATATATATGTAACCAATAAGCATGAAACTATGCATGTTTAATCCATTTTAGCCTGTTGAATCATTAATAAAACATGATTGTCAACATGTCCCATTACTGGAAACATATATTCACGACTGGGAGAGATGGCTATCTAAAAAGGTATGCATATTATTATGGTTATTGTCAAAGTGTATATTTTCTTTCTTTTTTTTTCGTCAGTGAGAGGAGGAATTATTGTAATATTGTTTTATTGATATTCAAAACGATAATAATTGATCAATTCCTGTTGTTATATGTGCATTCTTAGAGGATTGCTTAAATGATAGCATTTCATCACAAACTTTTTAGTAATATTTGACATGTAGATACAAACACCTTTAAATTCATTGAACAAATTAATGTTTATCTGAAATTAGTAGCTCGGTTGGTAACATGTTATCTTTTGAAGCAAAGTGTACTGAAAAAGATGGAAAGTGGCTAGCAGTGGAATCCAGGACGCGCAATTCGTCCTATTTGGGACTCATCAACTGGATGTACCCGCATCTCAGAGTTGATGCTCACTCCGGGACTCGATTCCAGTACCGTTCGCTTCAAACACCATTGCGTTATCCACTTAGCTACTGGGTCCCAGAGTGAACATCAACTCTGGGATACGGGTACATCCAGTTGAAGAGTCCCAAATAGGACGAAACGTGCATCCTAAATTCCACTGCTAGCCACTATCCATCTTTGTTTAAAAAGCTAGTGACTCAAAACTATATCGAGGTAATCCGCACAGGATGCACGTACGTTAACAAGAGATCGATCAATTGCAGTCTTAAATAACAATATTAAGATACAAGTAAAGCAACAAAAAGTGAATTTAAAGTGTACTGATTTCTAGTTTTGGTACGATCACTCATAGTTTGATCTAGGTATATCCAACTGAAGAGTCTCATATAGAGATATAACATATATTCTTAATTCTATTACTACTTACATTATTAAATATTACCTAATATTGTATCGATGTTGTCCAGATTAAATTAAGTACAACGTGTTTGCTACTCCAATCTATTTCCATTCACTTCAATGTAAACTAGTCACGGCTTTACGCCTATCCTTTACATTGAGGTTTTTAACCCTTATACAAACAGTATAGTTCGAAGCATTGTATTAATTACATCAAGCTACATTGTTTTTTTGGATGGAACGAACAGTGATGTAATTTTCTTTTTCATTTTTAGCAATCAACAGTTATACATATTGAGAAGTTATTAAACCAACAAGATGAACTCTATCCATTTATGCAATACATGAAATCAGTTAAATCTATTGAACCTTTAACAATTTTATTGTTAATGTGTAAGTAATTATACTTTATTTTTTCTTTATCAAATTATTGTAACCACTATTCATCTTTGTTTATAAAGCTTGTGACCTAAGGCAATATCTGGGACTCGAACTCCGTATCGTTCGCTTCACTATGCACAGGATGAATATATGCCATTAAGAGACTGATCAATTGTAATCCTAAACAATAATGGGAAGATATAAGTAAAACAACACCAAGTGAATTTAAAACTTCACCTCATTGCACAAACAGGTGGCTATCAGGAGTCAGTAGCTTAGTGGATAATGTGATGGTGTTTGAAGCGAATGGTACTGCGTTCAAGTCTTTGAGTGAACATCAACTGTGAGATGCAGGTACACCCAGTTCTGAGTGGGACGAAACGCGCGTCCTGAATTCTACTGCTATCCACTATCCATTTCTGCTTATAAGCTATTTATTGTTTAAATCACTGAAGAATTTTCCTGGAAGGTAGTTATCGTCATATTTTATTAAGGAACCACTAACAACGCGGTAAAGTGCATTAGAGATAATGGTAGTGTATTGGCGGTTGTTGATATGGCTTTTGCTCCTGTCGTCATTAGAAGACAAAATTGACAATCAGAATACCGACTTATATGACCTTGCTATCGTGCTAAACCAATGACACGTCAATCAGAACTAAGAACCTTGGGTCAACTTTGATTCCTTATTGGTCCTCATCTAGCCCTGCTCATTGAGTTTAGAATGCAATCTGAGCATCCACTATATGAATCGTGTATTTCAGATATATAAGCAGATCAAATCGCATCACACCATAAAATGAAAAATAATAATTAAACAAAGTCAAGCCGAAAGTGGCTGTGAGTGTGGGAGACTTTACCTAATAAATTGGACGTTAAGAATGGTAAATCGTATCTACATAGCCGATAAGTCAAATGAGAGGTATATATATATATATATATATATATATATATATATATATATTATCGCTACTTAATAATTATCCAGTAAGAGTATATGTAATAATAGGTCATAAATAATTCCTGGAAGTCACCGTTCATTTATTAATCGTTCGAATATAACACGAAAATTACTCATAAAAAGGTCGTGTGTGACCGACCTCAAGTAGTTGTCCATTGGGCACTGCGGTCACGCTCTCAGGTCACTAAGACTACTCCTAAACCAATTTCCTTTTCAGATACTTCTAGAAAAACCCTTTCACAGTGTGGACAACCGTGAAGTGATGACCGTCCTCATACCTTTAACAGCATTCAAGACCACTGTATTCATAATCAACTTACCTCTTCAATTCCTATTATTCCTCCTACATGGACTTTCAACTCTAAACTTCCTCTTTTGGCTTCCTCCTCAAGTGCCACCATAGCCAAAGATTCTAATGCCCAAAACACTGTCCCAGACTGACTGAAATCTTGTCGATCGGCATAACTTATGCAACTAATCTTCATAGATTTTGTAGATGAATTAAGTTTATTCTAATTTTCTTTATTTGAACTTTTATTTCTATTCAAAATAGATCAAATTAATTCACGTGTCTTAAAATCTATGCCATCATCAGATGCTTGTCATGAAATTAGTGCACAATTACATCATATTTTAAGTATATTAAATGGTCAACTGTTTAATGATAATAATAATGGGAATGATGTTGACATTGATCATCATCATCAGCAGCATCATGATGATGATGATGATCATCATCATCATTCTATTTATCAAATATCTAAAATGATTACACATAATCAATCCACTAAAACCTTACCTACAATAAATGGTAGACGTTTACAATTTTTCAATGTATCTAATGAATTTGAAGAATTATTAAAAGTTTGTTTAAAGTATTGTTCGCCGGAGACAATTACTCAACTTGTTAATACACCACAATGGAAAGAGTGAGTTTTTAGTTTTTTTTAAAAGTGTTGATTGCGTTTTTACGATAGTGGAATGTAGTGAAACGTGTTAGTGTTGGCACAACTACACTGGTTTCCAGGTTCATACAGTGAATAGGTTTTATTATTTCAACACATAGATATTGGTACAAAGAGGCACCAAATACATATGCGCCACACAAATCTCATTCGATATGTGTGAGGGCTGTGATACTGACCGGGTGCCCAGACCGAAGCAGGTGGTTTTCTTAGGGGGCCACACCCCGAGCCTTCGACCTGAGGGTCTGATCCATAAGGCAGTGGAGCATCGTAAGGAGATGCAGTCCCATGGTAGCCGGTGACCAACAATTGGTTCATACGCCATTTGTTCCCTCAGGATACTGGAGCCCATGTGCACCATTGGTTTGGAATCCGGTTAAAGCGCCGAACATTCGCTTTTCGTCCTCTCATTTTCGTAAACAACACCCCCGCCACGAGAAGGCAGTGAGTAGGACTTCCCTGGAAGAGGCTATATACGCGTGGCCATGTGAGAGCATTTCGAGAGGGAGAGCGGACTCTCCCCACTCTCGGCTGTACTAGGGCATTTGGGGGCAGAATGAACTCTAGACACTAGATTCCATTAACGTACTGTAGCTAATACCTTAATTTGTTGATCATGAATGGATATCATAATGATTTAACTGAGCTGTGTTGACTGCTGCACTTATCTCTTTAGGTCCCCCAAATGCCCTGGTACGGCTGAGAGTGAGGAGAGTCAGCTCTCAATCTCGAAATGCTCTCACATGGCCACGTGCATACAACCACTGTTGAGGAAGTCTTACTCACTGCCTCCTCGTGGCGTTACTCTTGTTTACGAAATTGAGAAGATAAAAAGCGAACGTTTGGCGCTTTAACCGGGTTTGTGGACACGGAGAGTCCACCTAGGGGAGTCGCAAAACCCTGGTTCCAAACCAATGATGCACATAGGCTGTCTCCAGTATCCTGAAGGAACAAATTGCATATGAGCCTATTGTTGGTGACTGGCTACCATGGGACTGCATCTCCTAACGTTGCTCCACTGCCTTGTAGGTCAGACTTTCAGGTCAAAGTCTCCAGGTGTGGTCCCCCATAGAAAATCACATAGTTCGTTTCGGGCGCCCGAGCAGTGTCCCAACCCTCACAGAAATGGGATGATTTATGTGGCGCATATCTGTTTGGTGCCTTCCTGTACCAATGTTTATGTGTTTAAATAAATAAAAATAAACATAGTACCGTACACAACTAAAAGTGCCATACTCATGGTCCGAGTACAAAGCTGTACTGCTGACTGCACAGCGGTATAACAGCAATAATGCATTTTCTCCCCAGATAACCAAAATTTGTATCAATAAGCGTTCTCATAAACATAATAAAGGGATTAGAAAAGGTCAATCTTAATATATTTGTAAAGTGTAATCGATAAACAAACCCAGTCACCAATCCTAATTTAAACCCTCATTATGTATACAAAAAGAATTTGTCGTAAACTTGAATGTACTCTAGTAAACCTTGAGTCTTTTTATGACCTAGAATAATGAGACACTGTCCGATAAACTTTATTAATTTTCATATAAAAAGTGTGAACTGATTGTTTGAAATGTACGACGTAAAAACATCACTTTTTTCAGATCAACTCTGTCTTCTCATTGTTCTATGGGAATCATAATCTTTATGTTTATCATAAAGGAATCTTGCGGGGCAGGATCGTGGATTCGCACTGCTGAGGTGTCCTATACTAGGATAAAAAGGCCATCCAGTGTTTTCAGGTTTTCCATTATAGTCTAGCTTTAATTGACTCCTGAATTCAATTATTAAGTTACTACAATCTCCACAAAACCCCTCTGATATTAAGTTTGTTGACTTATTTTTCCTGTTCTTTAATTCGGAATGTTATATATGTCACTCTTTTTCGCCTGTTTAATAGGCTTTATTAATTGTTTATTTTGTATATTAACAGCGTTCATTTACGTTTAAGAAAAACAGTTGAAGTTTATCAAGCCAATTAATTTACTTGTTCTGACTTTGGCTAAGCTAAGACTCTGTACTCGACAGTCTAGTGAATAGTTTAGAATTGAATCTGTAAAAAATTACTTCCTACATATATCACACCTCACCCTACCTTGTGTATCATTGTCTTAGGCGGTAAAGCCTTTTAAGTTACGGAGCTAACACATCTAAAACTTCGCATAAATAGGTTGTATGTAACCGGCCTCAAGTAGTTGTCCATTGGATTCTGCGGTTATGTTCCTAGTTCGTTAAGTTCATTTATCGAGCTTCTTTTTCAGATTGTGCAAGAATAAATATCCTTTCACAGTGTGGACAACTGGGAAGTAATAACTCCCCCTACATATCCAACAACAGCATGTGAGATCACATCGTTCATAATACAAACCTCGTCTTCATTGGACTTCACTTTCGATCACAGCCTATCTGTTGAATTAACACATATTTGTGTGGCTGAACTAACTCTTCTTCGATCAATGCTTTGATTGTTTTACACTTATATGGTTTACTCATTTCTGTATTTATCTACATATGTTTCTCTATTTCTCTATTTTTTTTGTCTGCAGAACCTATCAGTCAGTTTGTGATGCAGTTGAATCACGATTTATACCAATGTATTTGGAAAGCCCGGAGTACATAAGATATTCATTTGGTTTTTCACATTTTTCAACTTCAGTTTCATCATTAAATAAGATTGGAGTGTAAGTTAATCGCGTTTATTCCTTTTTCAATATATGTACACTAAGCCCTTGGTTCAACCTCCGCTCATCTGTCTTGGGTTTAAGCAACTCTGGTGGTATCATTAGCCACCACACTTGTAGTTTGGACCATACCCAAGTGACCTGGTGAATGATTTAACAACAATCATTATAGGTTACAAGAGTTGAAGCTCTTCTGTTATTTTTTCCATATAATATCGAAACCAGGAGTTTAGGTATTGTCTAAACGTAATGTTTTCCACTACAACTAATGTCATTACAAATTCTGATACTCTGACATTTGTCTTATTGATAAAGTGTAGCGGCAACTTGAAATAATGCGAATATAGTTCAGGTCTTATGTTGTTTATGACTGAATGACTGACTTTTCAAGTACTTTGTATAACAGTGTTGATTACTATTGGTAGTAATTAAACCGAAACCCTGTTGATTAAAAATTGTATCTATTTATGTGTGTTTATTGGCTGGGACTTCCTATTTTACTTACTTTTCATTGTATTCTCGTGATCAATAGTTCCAGACTCAGGGTGACATGGCTCAGAATCGATCATAATCGCGTGTATGCACTCTCTATCTTCCTTCAAATTATGGGATCAAAGTAGCTTCGTATCTTTCTTTTCGCAAACTTATTCTTTCTTTCTGTACTATATCCCTACATAAAATCTTTCTTTTATTTATTACACCATTGAGTTGACTGCTTCTATGAATCCGGTGTTCATCTTGCTGTACTAATGCGGTATGGCAACTTGGACAGATGCATATATGTGCCTGATCCTACGTTGTAACTGACTGACTGTTTGATTGATACGATTTAATGTGATGTCGTCGATCAGTGACCTATTTATCCACGTACCATATGATTGAAATTTCTGTCATGTTGTCATATTCACCAACAATTTCCAATTGAACAACAAATGATTCATGTAACTTATATCATTACTGTATTTTAAATAAAAATAAAATATTTGTAATATCCCAATGAGTAGAAAATTGGATTTTCTGACGTTTCGTGACTTAGTGTAAGTCACTTCTTCAGAGAATAAATAACCAAATTAAAATTAATCCAAGTTTAAATAGTACAACGGAACAATGCATTGTTCCGTTGTACCTTGGTAATGACACCTACAAACATATTACTGTATTTTGTCGTTTAACGAATTCTTATTTTGTAAGATTCAATCAGTCACAACGTAAGACTAGGCACATATATGCATCAGTCCAGGTTGCCATACCTCATTAGCACAACAAGATGAACACCGGATTCATAGGAATGGTTAGGTTAAAGGTGGTAATATATAGGAGAAAGATTGCATACAAGGATACAGTACCGGAATATAGAATTAGTTCGTAGAAAGAAAGATAAGAAGCGATTTTAATCTCTTAGTTTAAGGGAAGACAGGGAGTGTATGCACCGACGCCATTGTGATCGATTCTGAGCCATGTCACCAAGAGTCTCCAACCATTGGTTACGATAGTCACGCGGACCCCAACCAAGTAGTCTGCATCTACCAACATGGTTCAGACTAGAGGTTAGTGTCTTCAAGCACTGATGCCACGTTTTCGTTTGGCCGCCCCTAATTCTCTTCCAACCATCTCTAACACCCGTTAGCATTGCACGTCGTGGTAATCGGTGTTCAGGCATACGTAACACGTCGCTCAACCATCTCAGTCGATGAAAATTAACAACCTCATCAACTGATTTACCATCATTACCCTGAGTCTAACCTCACTATTACTTACCCGATGATCCCAACAGATGCCAGCTATATTTCTAAGGCATCTGTGGTCAAATACTAGTAGCTTACAGGTGTCTTCTACTCTTAAAGGCCATGTTTCGCTGCCGTAAAGTAAGCAGAACGGACTGCCGCGCAGTGAACTCGTTCTTTTATTGATAGACGGATATCTCGCCTTCGCCAAAGGTGACGTAAGTTTTGAAAGATTCTCTTAATTTTCACGTAGAGTTTTGTTGAAACACAATGTGAATTGTTATTCAGTCAGATGGTTTGTTTAACTATATGCTTTTATGTTTAAATCTTAAAGTAATCAATTCAATCTCGTGTTATTCGTTGAAACTCACACATTCTTTGGTAATTCATTGACTACCTTTTTTTCTCTGCTAAGGCATTGTTAGAACTTAGCATAGAGTAGATAAAATGTGGTTATCAGTGGAATCTAGAACTCATATTTCATTGTGTTTTGAACTTTTAAGTTCGATGTACCTGCATCGCAGAGTTGATGTGCAATCCAGTACTCAAACCCAATGTGATGTTCGCTACTAGTGCCTTCGAATATAAGTAGTATGTAGCATCAATCAGAAGTGAAATGCCTGCCAGCAGAAGATTGATTTGAAGAGAATAAGAAAGAAAACAGAGAGAAACTGTGATAACAACAGGATTGAAGAATCATGAAATATTGAAGAAAGATATGCAAATAATATATTTAATGTATGATTTTCATATTTTACGAAGGCACTGCATAATTTTGCATGAAACAATAAATTGGCTTTTCCAACCTGAGTTCTCGTTTAAAATACCAGTACCGCTCATTTCACACGCTATTGTGTTGTCCATTTGGCTACTGAGTCTAGATTGGCACTTACTTTTGCAACAGGTATGAGATATAATTCATTCTCTGTATGAACACCAACTTTGGGATGCAGGTAAATCCAGCTGATGAGTGCCAAACAGAACGAATTGTACATCTTGGATTCCATTACTAGCCACATTCCATCCATTTTATATCAACTTGTGTCAAATGGCTATATAGAGGGAATCCACACATGATCCACATTCACCAACCAAGTTTTATCAAATTTCACTCAAAAATATAAACAACGGGATAATCTGAACCTTTTGAATTTGAATCAGAACGAGAAATTGTTTCAGTGTATACTTACCCTCCTATTTCTTTATACAATCTTTTCTATTGCAGTGTTTTACATTTCTTGAGACATTTGAAATTTATCTATTGACGGTTTTTAGTTTTGTTTTCTCGGGTGATATCTACCTTAAGAGATTGAAATCAAGCCGGGAATGTATTGAAAACGGTTAAATACTGTGAGCTTGTGACTCCTCGGTAATGCACACATCACAACCTTACATACTATTGGATGTCAAAAATGAAACTACAGGGAATATGTTCAATTGGATGCTAATGATTTTCAAGATAGTTTTGTGTAGACGACTGGCGTTTTTTATATTTTGGCTTCATAGTCACAATTGTTTGTTAGCATTAAATTGTTTGAACTGTGTAGTTTAAGTAGAATGTTTTCATTGTCATTCAATACAAAATCATCATTACTCGGTTTTGAATAACAGTGAACATATCCGAAATAATTTTACTTTAATGACACAATTAGTGATTGATTTACTTCAAAGTCTTAGTTTCCATTATGATAGACTATTATTGTGTTAATAAAAATTGACCTCAAACTATATGATTCATTGACCCGATCTTCATCGGTTAATCAATTCAGTTTATGTGGATAGATTTATTGATTTCGGATTGACCTGAAAGGCACTGTTTAATAACTGAATAACCAGTTTGTTTAAAGTTCCCTCGATCTAAAATGACGACTTATTGAAATTCATATCCGTAATAATGTACAAGCATTATTATAATGTTCACATATGTTGTTCCGCAAGGTGATATGACTTACCACCCTCTGTCGTACAAGGTCATTTGGGGGCGAATAAAAGAGTAGACGTTTGCGACTAACACTAGGATCTAGAACATCCATTTCGTCCTATTCGGAACTCGTCAGCTGGATGTACCTGCATTCCAATTATTATTATTTCTCGAACCCATTATTCTTCACTTAAAACACAAAAGTGAAAGATATAGCATGCTTAACGAACATTAAAAAATAGATAAATAATCTCAGCTGGATTACGCCGTTGTTGATATTTAGGACTGACTTCTGGTCAGTCTTCGTTAACCTATGTGGATGCTCTACAATTTTTCTTGTTATGATCATTTTGTCACGATTCCCATCCAAATAAATGAATTATTGTTAGCATTAGAATTCTGGACATTTTTGTCCTATTCGGAGCTCGTCAGCTAGATATATTTGCATCTCAGTTCTAATGTTCATAGTCAATCAGGCAGTCAGCTACAACGTGGGATCAGGCAAATATATGCATCGGTCCAATTTGCCATGTACATACATATATTATTTTTGTATTTATGTACACTCTTTGTTAAGTACTATATATTTGATTAAAGGGAAGAATTCTTATCAAAATAGAGAGACTACCGAATTCTCATTTCACAAGCATTTTAACTTGTGAATATACTAAAGAAATATATAAAAGGTTTTTTAAAATAATGATAGAATCTGTCATCAATATTCAACAGTGATTGTTTCAGACTAGTCATACTCTTGTAACATCATTCTGTTCATCTTTGAATATGTATCTCACGGCGTTGTTGTCTACGAAATTCGAAGGATGAAAAGAAAATGTCCGGCGCTTCAACCGGATTGATAGATATGGTAGATCTACCTAGAGGAGTTGAAAAACCCTGATTCCAAACCAATGGTGCACATGGGCTCCAAGATCATGAAGGAACAAATGGCGTATGAACTATTTATTGGTCAGCGGTTACCATGGATATCCATCTCGTGAAGTTGCTTCACTGCCTTGTGGATTAGATTTTTAGGTCGAGGGCTCCGGGTTTAGCCCCCTAAGAAAACCACGTAGTTCGGCCTGGGCACCCGAATAATCTCACAGCCTACACACAAACCAGTTGACTTGTGTGGCGCATCTGTGTTCGGTGCCCCTTTGTACCAAAATTTATATGTTCAAATAAATCAATATAAAATAATCTAATGTATGATTTGTGTAATGGTCGTTCACTGTGTATTAAAAGGTCAGAGTAGGAAGGAACTATGAAAGCTGCTAATACAATGTTACTTTTTGAGTTTATTGATAACTAAATTCATAGTAGTTTGTAAATATTTTATGAAATTCTGTATGGTAACCGACGAAATTCACAACAATATAAATAGAAATGTCGATTTATCGTCAGTCAGTTAGCTACAACGTAGGATCAGGCACATATGTGCAGCGGCGCAACTTTCCATACCTCATTAGCACAGTAAGATGAACAACGGATTCATAGAAGCAGTTAACTCAATGGTGTAATAAATAAAAGAGAGATTTTATGTAGGGATGTAGTACAGAAAGAAAGATATGAATTGATTTTAATCTCAGTTTAAGGGAAGATAGAGAGTGTATACACCTACGCCATTGGGATCGATTTGGAGCCATGCCACTCATAGTCTCCAACTATTGGTTAAGATAGTCACGTGGACTCCAATCAAGTAGTTTCCATCTATCAATATGGCTCACGCTAGAAGTTAGTGACTTTGTGGACTGATGCCACGTTTTGGTTTAGCCGCCCCTAACTTCGTTCGAACTATCCCCTACACTAGTCAGCATTGCGTGTTGTGGTAATGGGTGTTGAGGCATACGTAACAGGTGGCCCAACCATCTCAATCGATGAAGATTCACAATCTCATTAACTGATTTCCCATCATCATTCCCTAATACCTTGCGTCTGACTTCATTATTACTTAGCAGGTGATCTCAGCAGATCCGAGCAATATTTCTAAGGCAAATACTTGTAGCTTATGAATATCTTCTGTTCTTGAAGGCCACGTTTTGCAGCTGTGAAGTAAAACAGAACGATTTATCATAGTAAAGTGTAAGAAAATAAATGAGAAACGACATTGTTTAAGAATTGGTTTCATTCCGTCTGTTTCCGTTGTGTGTTTTTTTAATTAATATAAAGCAGGTCTCCAAAACGCGATATTCGACGTTTATCACAAAATGTAGGAACAAGTCAACAACAAACTGGTCTATTTGGAAATGCTTTAATGAATGTATTTAGTAGTCAATCTAGTAAGTGAACCATATTACTTCTGAGAAAATATTTTATTAACAAATATTACAGTATTCTTTGAAAAATCAGATGAATTCGAGTGTTTTCAGTGATGTGCACGATTAATTGACAGTTTACTTAAACTAACTTGCACAGTAAAAAATACCTCATGTTGGAAGAACAGACGGAGAAAGAAACCAAGACTAGTATCCGTAGTCTCATTGACCAAGTAACATGATCGTGGATCTCAAGGCGCATTATTTTGTACTAGTAATTTTGACGTTCTAATGGCTTTTAATCTGTTCGTCTAGTAACAAACAATCTCAACTATTCTCACTATGTTGTGGAGATTTGTTGAATTTCATTTAAATCCTGAACCAATCTAATTTGAACTACCATTAAAAACGTGAATGAACTAGACACCGGTTTCGTTCTAGTATAGTAACCGATCACGCGGGAATCAGATTCGTGACAATGTATCTATTTGAACTTTGACTGATCCTTAAATGAATAGTGACTAGTGTCATGTACATCAAGTCTTTCCTAATGCTGATGGAATTCTATCAATCAAATTCTAATATTACAAGTACACATTGCTGACGAGCAACAAGTAAAACGAAACCTGAATCTTATAATGTTGTCTATAGACTATCTCGAGATTACCACCATACATTTTGACACAGTGCAGACGATCTCGAGTCGTTTAGACTAGTATTGGTCACATTGCAACTTGATCGATAGAATTTAATCACCGCTATGAAGTACTTCAAATACATAAGATTGGTCACTACTCAGTAATTAGACAGTTATAAAGTCAAAAAAAATAATTGCGAATAAATACCTTTACCTATTCTTGTTTCACTATAAAACTTGTATTTATTCAGCATAAGAAAGAGCTGTTTTGTAATCTTTGCTCTAGAATGTATGTTATGTCTGGTAGTGCTTACCATTTTGAATTGTGTGTTTATATATATGAATGTAACCTTGGATTAATGCACTTTTTATGTGTGTGTGTATATATGTTTGAAACTTTGTTTAATTATTTACGAAAAAGGTAAGAAACAATGTAGTTTAACTTACAAATCAATTATTTGTTACAAATATAGTATGTTACTATTCAAGTACTTATGGAGTGTGATTCATAGAGAGAGAGAGAGCGGAAAAGAGCGATTCGTAACAACTGGTAAGGTAGATGATTTGTTAATGCATGGAGATTGTTAAATGTTTGTAACTTTGCATCACGGATGTAGTTCAGTTAGGTGACCATTGACAACTAGGAAGGATTGAATGGTTGTTTCATCCTAGCATGAGGTTCTTCAGCAACGCTCACCCATAATCTATCCGATGAATGGAAGCCTGGAACTTCAGGTGGCATGGTGGGCAATTAGCCTTTGAAGTGTTAGCATTTCTAACATTACACAATTAGTTCACAATATTCCAAAACTATCTTCTATTGCCTGTGATGAATGATTGTCTTATACTCAACATAGTTGAACTTGATTAGCCACGGCTTCTCCTTTAGAACTTCAGAAATCCGATGTTGGAGGAAATGATTAGTATGAATATAAGAGTGCTTGTTGAGAGTGTAGAATTTTAGTCGTTTAAGTCATCAATCTTATCAAGATGAATATATATATAAAACCGGGAAACAATAAATAGCTGTTTCTTTTTGTTATGGGACTCAGAAGTTTGTAACCGCATTCCCCACTAAGTATAATAACCAAGACGTTTGATTTCACTCTCAAACACTTAACTTTTAAACCAATGTCCTGTTTTCAAGTAGGTAACCTCGTTAACTTCACATTGTAATTTAAACTATGAAAAGTATACAATTCGTCAAAACCTCCCTATTCTATAGTCAACTAGTTATATTGCTCAACCAGCATCCATTACAGTCGGCGTTATATGTCTTGCTCCCGATATGATTGAACTCCGGTAGTTAACATTTCTCACTACAACTATGAAAATTATGAATATTGGGCATATCATATATAAGTGGAGTTTTTTTTTCACTGAGGGCGAATAACTATGACTCCAGTATTCCATCATCCTTTCTATATCTTTCTTTGTATATATCGTTGCTGCGCCTACTACTTAGAAACCTCTTATCTAATTTCAAACTAGGCTACACCTCAGATTTTGCAACCCAAAAAAAAACAGTTTTACGTTGATCTTAGAAACTCCGTGTGCTTTTACCTGTTATCTTTAGACGCCCTAAATTATTATTTCAGTATTGGTTGCACTGATTGAAAGCGGCAACTTTGTTAGCGTATGGTGACACAACTGACTGGCAAGAGGGTCCGTAATTCGGGAGCCACTAGCAGATGAGGACGAATTTAAAGAATAAATTTCGCACCACAGACCGTTCATAGGCCCTCTCCGTGTCTAATTATAAAGAGACAAGGAATGGAGGAAGCACAATGTGAAGAAAGAAATAGATTTATGATCATACCGAAAAACAGGACAACATTTGACCATGAGAGCAGAAACGAGGCGATGTATATCAATGATGTCTGTGATAGAAGAACACTTGATTTATGTCAAGTACATCAACAAGAGAAGTGCAATCTCTAAACTGACATGATGATTGAATATTGTACATATAACAAGTGAGGAACATGGAATAAATAGACAAGAACGTGGATGAAAGTAGCCACAAATGAAGCATATGAAACAGATGAAGGTATAATAATCTTAGTGTAAAAGCCTCAATAACAGAAATCGAAAAATGCAAACAATGCAGTGTAATACAAAGGACCTTGATAATATAACATACCACCAAATACAAAACAGCTTAAGAAATTTCTACTCATTATAAGTTACAAAAGGTAGGGGTGGGACCACGTAAACGATGGCAAATAAATGACAGAATACTGAAATAATAATTTAGGATGTCCAAAGACAACAGGTAAAGGCATATGGAATACCTAACATCAACGAGAAACTGTACATTTTGGCTTACAAAATCTGGGTTGTAGTCTAGTTATAGGCATGTGATGAGTAAGATAATAAATGTGCACATATACGCTTACTTAAAGCTTCCAAGATTGATATTATAATAATTAACAAGGTGAAAATGGTACTACTGAAGAAGAATGTATGAATTGATCTGTCGAGAAGTTAGAATAAGTTATATTGGCGTACCATGGCACTCAATATTACATTTCACTCAGTATATTGAATTATTCACTGGATATTTGAAATTTATCTTTGAATGGTATTCTGTTAAAGTACATCTATATCAAAATATATTGTATATCGGGTTTTTTCCCCAGCTGATGGACAATTTTTCGGAAATCTTGACTCATCCAAACTCTCAGTTTCATCAATGCGTCGTAATCAAAAAGATCGATTTGGTAATATTCTCAATGACCAAACTAATCGATCTAATCGACATTATACTAATACTGGCACTACTACTACTGCTGTCAATGAGGAATTACTTACAAATCAACATGTCATCGGTATAAAACATTTACCGGAAACAACACAACAATTAGATTTATCTCAATGTAATGTATATATACGTGGTTTATCACGTCCTGAAGTTGTAACTCAATCGAATAATCGTCATCCATTAGGTTTAATCACTACAACCACCATTAACCCACTTGTATTATCATCAACAACAACACTTGGGATAACGAATTTACATTCTAATCAAACTAATCATTTACCAGCATCAATGAATATGAATATTTTATCGAATAATATTAATAATAATACTATGACAACTCCAATTTCATCATCTACAACAGCTGTACGTGATATAAGCTATCGAAATAAAATATCAAATGAATTAAATAATTTAATTAATCCATCTATATATAATAATTCATTCGTTTCATCATCATCATCATTACCACAACTTTCAACACAATTTATGTTTAATGTTGTTACTGAAATTGTTATCAATGGAGTACGTAGACAAGTGGCTAAAGTAACAAGGTGAGTAAATTTTATACATCGGATTGTTGTTGTTGTTGTTACATCTTGGTAAAAAGGAAACATTTTCTTATTGAAGTTTCTGTTGGGACGGCTGCCGAGAACTACGACAGAGCCGTAGAGTTTCACCCAATCGAACGCAATGGAGCTTTCTAGAAGATCAACGTGGTATGCTGCTTTTGGTCGATAGTATGACATACCACTTTGCGGATTGATTGAATTATAATGTTGATTTAAAAAACGCTAATATCTATAAATACCCATGATTTTCTGTACATTTTGATTCTTACCCATCAGGCACTTCTGTCTTCTCATTTGCGACTTCGTAGGGCTCTAGCGTTAAGAATCTAAGCTCTAGATATAACAGTTTCTAGTTGATAGCCTACAAAACTTATGTATTAAGGGGATAATTGAACTATTCTAATACAAACAGTCCTGTTTCGAACTGGATAACAGAAGGTGACACACATTATTTCACAATACTAAACCACAAACTATAGAAGACCAAGTATGAGTCAAAATTTTATTCACTTGCTATTGTTTATTTGAGTCTTCTCACTGTTATTTAGAAGTACAATTGATCAGTCTCTTATTGCCATATGTGCATACTGTTCGTTATTGCCTTGATATAGCCTTAATTCACGAGCATTATATACAAAGATGGATATGGCTAGCAGTGGAATCTAGGACGTGCGTTTCGTGCTACTTAGGACTATTCACCTGGATGTCTCTGCATCTCCGAGTCGATGTTGACTTGGGGACCCGAACCCAGTACCGTTCGCTTCAAATACCAACGCGTTATCCATTTAGCTACTGAGTCCTGAATCGCGGATTTCTACTACTGAAAAGTCCAGTACTAGGAAGAAACGGTCGTTCAGGGCTTACAAGATTTCAAAGGTGTTTTAAAGTTCATGATTTCGATAAGAACTCATCAACCCCTATACTGATAAATTATATTTACTCATTAAAATTGATAGATTCTATTAAGTATCATGGATTGATTTATAACAATTAATCATTTTTTTGTATACCCAATGGGAGTGTTTCTCATTATAATGAAAGTTTCTGTGATTCAACTACACAGTTTGAACAAGTTAACTCGTCCATAGTTTAGAGGTATTGTGTTAATTGTAAGATGAAATGTCAACATTTTGTTCGATTTTATATACATTAAGTATGATGAAGTATATACTGTTCATTTGTTTATCTGATTTTTCAATGTTCATGATAAAATCAAGCTTTCTCTTTCTCTATGTGGAGACTCTAGATAACATGGCTCAGAATCAATCACAATGGCGTATGTGTATACGCTCTTTGCTTTCCCTTAAACTGCGAGATTAAAATTACTTTATACCTTTCTAATTCTTTCTTCCTGTACACAATCTTTCTTTTGTATATTACCACTATTGAAGTAACTACTTTTATAAATTTGGTGTTCATCTTATTGTGCTAACGTGGTGTAGCAACTTGGACTGATGCATGCATATGTGTACTTGGTCTTACGTTGTAGCTCACTGGCTGACTTTCTCCATGTGTATATATCCTGAATTACTGATCTCTTTGAATCACTAATGCAAAGAGACGCTTTCAACCGTTTTGTTTTGTTTTCTATCTTTCACTTAAATTTTCTGGTTGAGATCATGAACTGATTGATGTTAAACCACCATTAAAAACCTAGAAGCACTGGACGGTCGTTTTGTCCTATTGTGGGACTCCTCAGCACGTGCTCATTGGTGACTAGTTTTGTGAGGGAATTCTCGGAGTTCTAGTGAGAAGCCGTGACCAGTGGAGCTAATCCGTGTCGAGTAGAGACAGGTATCTACCTCAGTAAAATGAAGGATGGTTGCGCAACTTCGTGGTTTGGTTGAGGTTAGACATTAACGCCATTGGATGCCGGCTTAGTAGTCTAGAGGCTAAGGGTTCGCGCGCAAAACTGAAGGCTCTGGGTTTGAATCCCGCAAGGCGGGATCGTGGATACGCACTCCTGAGGAGTCCCACAATAGGACGAGACAGTCATCCAGTGCTTCCAGATTTTCAATGGTGGTCTAACATCAATCAGTTCATGTTCTCAATCAAAAAACCTAATAATTTCACTCAAATCTCTATGCGATTTTCATCCTTTTTTTTCTTTAGAAAATATTCTGAATTTTATGTACTTGAACAAAAATTGATTGAATTTCATGGTACATTAATAATCAAACAATTACCAAAACGTCAATTAACCCCACGTACAATGGAATTTCTTGAAAGTAAATGTGATATATTTCAAAGTTATTTACAGGTAAATAGTTAAATATTGTTGTTGTTTGTCTGTTTGAATCTATCGGTCATACAGCACGTAGAATTTGATACATATATACATTGATTCAACTTATCATACTTACGTAGTGTAATGTAGGAGTAAAGAAGAGAATAGATGAACTATCTAAAGAAGAATAAATGATATAAGAAGATTTTAGGACTTAGATTCTTAGGAGGGGGGGGAGGAAAGTGTGAATGTATCTATGCAATTGTGAACGACTTTGAGTCATGTTATCCAAATTCTTAAACGATAGTCACACAAATCTCAACCAAGTGATTGTACACCTTTTAATATGTCTCATTCCTATTGTTAATGACTTCATGAACTGGTGTTACGTTTTGGTTTATCTGTCCCCTAGCTTTCTATCAGTCTATTCCTATATCAGACAACATTCTCCATCGAGGTAATCGGTGGTTTTCCATACGTAATGCATGTCTCAATCACTTTAGTTGATGAAGACTCACTATCTCATCAATCAACTTGCCATATCTATCTAGTACCGTATTCTCAACCATAGCATTGCTTATTCGTTGGTCTCAAAATTCACGAATGATGCGTTGAAGACGCCTATTAACGAACACTAACAACCTATGGATATCCTCTATTTTTGAAAAAAAAGTTCCATACTGGTAAAGTAGTATGGAGAAAAACTGCTGCTTAATATACTCCTCCTGTAGATCGAGAGGAGATTACCTCGCATAGACTACGAGTGACGCAAGTTGACAAAGGCCATACGAGCTCTTATCTGTTGCGATATTCCTTCAGAAATAAAGCCACAAGAGCTGATGAGATTTTCAAGATGAGTGAATTGAGTGACGCGCTCAACTGCTTCAATCCCTATTAATAATTCAGGTATTTATCCTGTGCAGTCCTGAAGCAACATCTTGCATTTATTATTTCATCACTCATGTCACCATAATCATTTATGCAGCAACTTAGATACACCAACACGTTGATCATTTTTCTTGGTGTGAAAATATTGTAATTTCTTGAGGTTATTATATCCAAAATTGTTACGGTCTTTAAATGACGTATCACATGATAGGTTGCAGTGGCCTAGATACACTCACTCTTTATTTTCACATTTAACAAATGAAATTAAAGCACATGATTGAGGAAATGAAATCTTACTTTAGATATGTTGATGATACGTTTCTTATTTGTAACAACCCAAATAATACTACTTTTCCGATCTTTGGATTTGAAGAACTTCATATAGGGAGTGACAAAGATATATCTATCCGAAGATAACATGAAGTGAAGTTTATCTAGACTTCAACAGCTTCCTCCCATCAAGTTAGCAAAACGGCATTGTGTGAACCTTTCTTAACGGTCTTCGTAAGATAATAGTTATTAGGAAATGTTCGCAGAAGTACACATACCTACAGAAATTCGTCGATAAATATGCTAATACGAACTACTGTGTTAATTATGATCATATGCAATTAGATTGACAAATGGACACATCATTATAATAAAACCTGGCATGGATGTACGTTGGCTAAAGTTACCATGTGTCTGATTAGCACGACACGATGGAAATTTAACGAAGTTATGGGAATAATATAGTTACTTACTTACGCCTGTTAGTCCTCGTAAAGGAGTATAGGCCACCCATCAGTGCTCTCCATCCAACCCTGTCCTGGCAATCCTTTCCAGCTCCTTTCAGTTGTTATTCATCCTTTTCATATCTGCTTCTATTTCCCGACGTAATGTGTTCTTTGGCCTTCCTCCTTCAGGATTCCAAGCTAATGCCTATCTCATGATGCAGTTTGATGATTTGCGTAATGTGTGTCCTATCAATTTCCATCGTCTTTTCCTGATAACCTTGAATTGTTTTGGTGTGCAACTGACCTATAATCTATTCCAGTTCCTTTTTTTCGTTTTAACCTATCAGATGAATCCTCTTTCGTTTATAAATAAAGATTGAATTTTCAGCGTAAACCTTCAATCAAACTGATCATCAACAGATAAAATAATTATCTATTAGAATGAAGTGTTCATTTAATAGACTAACATACTTACTTACACCTGTTACCCCTCATGGAGGAGCATAAGCCGCCGACCAGCATTCTACATTCAACTCTGTACTGGATAATCCTTTCCAGTTACTATTCATCCTTTTGATGTCTTCTCCCAAATCACCGACATAGTATGTTCCTCAACATTCCTGTTCTCCGTTTCCCTTCCGAATTCCAAGTTAACGCTTTCGTCCTGATGCAATTTGATGATCTCTGCAATTTATTTCCTATCCCCTCAACTCCTAGGACAGAGTTTAAATGGCTTAAATTATTTGTTCTAGTTAGCGATTTTTTGGAAAGGTTTTCTTATGGGTGTGGTTGTTGACACCATGCTCAACCCTCCTCCTTTCTTCGTGCTTGGGACTGAGCTACAAACGAAATTCACAAACTAACATTGTTACATATAAAATAAAAATACCTATAAAATAAACTTAATTCAATGTTGTAGAGGTAATTGAAAAAGATCAACTTCGTTGGTCATTCGTGCAGCTTCTAATTAAGACTTCATTCATCATCATCGTCATCGGATTTATTGCCTGCTTATTATGAGCATTTACATGTGACTACTATTTGAGCTGTAAATATTCTAATTAATTATGACAGGTTCATAAATATTTCCAATGAGGTGATTAAGAGGAGAAGAGCTTATATGAAGAAAAAAAGAAATGGAATAGAATCTTGAATCACACATATGTATGTATACGTGTATAACCTTAGAGGATAATTCGTTCTTTTGTTTTGACATTTATCTGTATTTATTTATAGATTGTTTACTCCCTTCTTTCTCTCTCCTTTCCTTTTCCTTCCCCTACTCATTGTTCTATTCGGTCATTTCTTCTTTGTTTAAGATATAAAATTGTCCTTGTCCTTTTTCAATTTAATAAATATTTATTGTTTATTAACATGATAATAATAGTTTTTTTGTGGATTTCGAAGTGTTCTCTGTAATTGAGATTATTTATTCTTGGGTATTTCAAATTTCATCTTATCCCTCCCCACAAAAATGCTTTGGTACGACTGAGGGTGGGGTTTTTTCATTCAACAAGTTGGGGTGCGCTAATAGCTATGTGTTCATAGAAGACATCTAAATAGCTATTAATAATCAAACAAAGTCTTAAATGGCATTCTATGCTCTTATACGTATGTAGCACTGATCCAAATGCCTTTGTACAGCCAAGAGTGTAGAGAATCAGCTCTCCCTCTCCAAATGCTCTCACATGACCACGTGCATACAACCACTGACAGGGAAGTTCTATGCTCTGCATTCTCGTACCAGGAGTATTGTTTGCGGAATTAAGCGAATGAAAATTGAATGTCCGGTACTTTAACTGGGTTGGTAGATAATGAAGATCCACCTAAGTGAGTTGGATAACCCTCATTGCAAACCAATAGTGCATATGGATTCAGGATCCTAAGGAAACAAATGACATATGAACGAATCGTTGTGATCGGCTACCATGGTACTGTATCTTATTACGTTGCTTCATTGCCTTATGGATCAAACCTCTAGATGAAAGGTTCAGCGAGTGGCTCCCTAAAGAAATCACGTGGTTCGGTATGGTCACCGTGGTAGTATCACAACCCACAGACAAATCAAGTGACTAGTGTGATGCTTCTGTATTCGATGCCTGTTTGTACCAATATTTATGTGTTCAAATAAATATTACCCCCTGCCTAACCAATCTCTTTATGCATCGTATTAATTTGTTTGAAAAACTATATGAAATTTGAATAGTTTTGTTATTATTACTAATTAGTATTGTTAAAAATAACTCTTGAAAACCTAAATCTGACTAATAATAGTCAAAAGGTATTTCTACTCAATTTAGGTTTTATCTTAATTAACACTGATCAACAAGCCTTCCATTTAATGTCGAATGAAGTGATGCTCTGTGTAAGTGTATGTGTGCGTGTGTTATTCGAACTTGTATCAACCATGATCATACAGTGTTGAAATGTTATCTCTGAGGTATTTAGGTTATGTAGGATACATATATACATTTGATGATTGGTCAATGAGTACTCAGGTTATTATCAATCGGTGAACGGAATAATCTTCAAACTATGCCACTTCGAATTTCAGCGATCTAAACATATCTATCTGATGTTACCCATAAACAGTGAAACGCTCATTTTTCTTTATATTCTTAGCTATTACAGTGTTATATAAAGCCAATATTCACTCTAAAAGATTCGCGTAGAATTTCCTCCTTTAATTCCAATCATCCTGTCCTTCGTAAATATTTCTGTTTGAAAATGGACTCTGTAAATAACTATCCAACTAAATGCTGTATAATAGTGTGCTGGACGCTCCTCGCAAGATTGCTTGTAAATAGTATGTAGCGGAACGTAGCCAGAAGCTGTCACAGTTGTCAGACGGGAAGAATAGTTTCAGTAGACTAAAACATGGTGTAGGCAGAACACTTGAAGATCATATAAGAAGACAGTTCAGATTGTTGAACACACTGCACAATGGCAGACCGAAGACATTGTATAAGTATTGTGTAAACACTTTTTAATCTCTCACACAAAACATTCAACCCTTCTGCCTTGTTGTACAATACTTATTTAATAATCTATTAATTTCATTCACTTGAAATTATCTAGTTCCGCAGTTGTTTCTTATTTTAAAAGTGCTTGTATATAGGTTCGAACCCCGCATTAATTAATTAACCTTTTCCCATAGTACAATATCTAATTGCCTTTTTCTTTTATCTATATCGCATTTTTAGTATTTAATTGCTCAACCATTCCTTCGGAATAGCAAATTATTATACAGCTTTCTTACATCAAATGAACCATTCAATACAAATATATTTGAATTGAATTTAGGACGTTTAGTGAAATCGGTTCCGCTAAAATTAACCAAAGAGGTAAGTTAAACGTTTTATTTATCTATTTTATATATATGTCAACAAGTGATTTTGAGTTTTATAAAATGGATGGTTCCATCACATAAGCTTCGATTAAGGTCCATTGACAGGTGGACTGAACCATGTTGGTAGGTCTACACCTACTATCTGGTTGAAATCTGCCAGACTATAGCAACCGATGGTTAGAGACCTTAAATGACACAGCTCAAAATCGTTTGTAATGGAATAACACAGGTGCATCCAATCTCTGTGTTCACCCAAATTCTAATCTTCTGAATTTTCCATGTCCCTTTCTTTTTTCTCTTTGAATAACATCTTCAAACCCTAATCTTTCCGATTACTGCTTATACTTTTACTACCTGTACCACTATGGGATTTGAATCGACAATCGTATCTCTGTGCTAATGTGGTATGGTAACTCGAACTGATGTACGTACGTACGAAGTTCTACGTTGTTACTGACTGACTGAGAAATTTCGATAATGATTCTAGGCATTGTCAGTGTCCATTTAACGTAAAATAATACTTTTTAAAATGATTCAACATGCCTCAAATCATTTTTTTAAAGGATTTTTCTATACTGCTAGTCCGAGTTTCACTAACCAAAATCGTCTATGAAATCTAATAATTTGCATACAAAACCGGGTATGATAACAAGTCACATTCGATTTCTAGATTTCAACAGTCATTGACATTTGGGCCGTAGAAATCCAATCCATAGAGAGGAATCTATGACTATAATGTTTACTTCCAACTGTAGTTTATTCTCATGAATCAGGAAATATGTAGGTTAACCATGACGTTGAAGCTCTAGATTCTTGTTTAAAAGAAACTAATACTCATAATAATATGGCTAGTTGACCAATCAATAATAAAACCATATTTTAGTGACCATCCCAACCGACTTATCACTCAACTAAAAAATGGCTTCTCATTATAAAAAAACTGATAATCAAAAGTAATGAAATCTTGATGAGTAAATAGTTCCAGCAAGATGACTAAGCGAAGAATGTTCAAGGTTTAGAATAGCTAGTCTCGGATTTAGAGTCAGTAGTTGTGGTGAGGATTGTAGTTGGTTATCGTCGACAATAAATCTTACTTCACACTCTTCAGGAAAGTGTGCCTGCGATTCTAAGAGATCTGATGTTTTCTGACTCTTTCTATAAACACTAAGAGTTCTTAAATTGACATCGATCACTGCTCAGCTATCAATCAGTTCTAAAGGGTTAAGATTATTAATATTCGGGGTTGGTTTTAGAGATGTTAAAGTTACGTGTATTAATTTTAAGAAAATTTTTTTTTAGTTACAAAGACGTACTGGATTATGCTCTGAATCAAATCATACACACTCAGATGCAATTTGCACATAATTCACTGTATAGTTGCACAAAATTTATTTTTAACCTACACAATTTAGTATAGCATAGATGGTATATAGCTGACAGTGGAATTCAGGACACACGTTTCGTTCTATACGAGACTAGTCAACTGGATAAATTTCTATCCTAGAGATGTCGTTAACTAATTGGTTATATCCAGACAATGCGGATAGACCTCACATATATCAAACAAGACTGATTAATATTTAATTAAAATATCAATAACGAATTAATTGGATTCATTTCCAATTGAATGTTATTTATAGACACGCCTTATTTGAGTTTTCAATAACATACATACTATCCGTCATTACTTCTTTAAATGTTGAACAAAATATTACAAGCGTTACTTCATTTCGGATTGATTACGTGAAGTTTGTCGTTATATTTTACTTTTATTGACTGGATTTTAAAAGATCTCCCCAAAACATACAATTCGCTAAGAGTAAAATGTCATATTGTTGTGAATGAACACTCACGTGGAGACAATCACTCAACAATCAGTTCATTTGAACACATAAATATTGGTACAAAGGGGTACCGAATACATATGTACCACACAAGTCAATTGATTTATGTGTGTGGGCTATGATAATGCCCGTGGTTTTCTTAGTAGACCACACTCGGAATCTTCGACTTAAAGGTCTAATCCACAAGGCAACGGAGCAACGTCAGGATATGCAGTCCCAAGTTGCCATACCTCATTAGCACAACAAGATCAACACCGGATTCATAGAAGTAGTTTATTCAATGGTGGTAATGTATAAAAGATTGCATATAAAGATATAGTACAGAAAGAAAGAATTACTTTGTAGAAAGAAAAATATGTAGCGATTTTAATCTCGTAGTTTAAGGGAAGACAGAGAGTGTATGCACCTACGGTCAATTCTGAGCCATGTCACCCAGAATGTCCAACCATTGGTTACGATAGTCACGCAGACTCCAACCAAGTAGTCTCAATCTACCAACATGACTCAGGCTAGAAGTTAGTGACTTCGTGGAGTGATGCCACGTTTTGGTTTGACCGCCCCTAACTTCGTTCCAATCGTGTCCAACACTAGTCAGCATTGCGCGTCGTGGTAATGGGTGTTCGGGCATACGTAACACGTGGCCCAACCATTTCAATCGATGAAGATTCACAATCTCATCAACTGATTTAACATCATCGTTCCGTAATACCCAGCGTCTAACCTCAGTATTACTTACCCGGTGATCCCAGGAGATGCAAGCAATATTTCTAAGACATCTGTGGTCAAATACTTTTAGCTTACGAGTGTCTTCTACTCTTAAAGTCCATGTTTTGCAGCCGTAAATTAAAATAGAACGAACTGCCGCGCAGTATACTCGTCCTTTTATTGATAGACGGATATTTCGCCTTCGCCATAGGGGACGTAAGTTGGCAAAAGCCAAATGTAACATCAATATAGTGTTTGTTTTTTCAAATCTTTGAATTGATTATTAGTAAAACTACATAACCTTCAATCTTTTAATCAACCCTCTCTCCTGAATTAGAATAAAGTAGATACTAGGTACTATTGTGTTATCCTTTGAATTAAACAATTCACTACGGAAATTATCTGTCTAATTAATTCTTTCGGTATTGAAATTATACTCTTTAATAATAAATCAATAATTAAAATTTTTATATGCTAAATAACATAACAACACTTGTTTTTCATTTCCTTTCTATCTTTTCTATACTTTCACTTTTATTTTATCCCCTTTTAATCTTTATATGTTTTTTGATACTTATTCGTTTTATTGTATGTTTAGAAATATTTAACTAAATTTTAGCCTTTATTGCTAATGATACTTACTTGTTTATATTTGAATATAAATGTCTATATATGACTGTTTGTTTGTTTAGTTGTTCTCTCTCTCTCTCTCTTTCCCTGTTTTTCACCTTTCTTTACATCTGCTGATTATTGATTTTTAGCTGCTATAGCAATAATAACATATGATGAATATATATTACTATAATATTCATATAATCAGTAGTATGTAGTTATAGTAATGTTAATAATATTATATTTTCACTTGGTATTGTTTGGCTTGTATCTTCCTATTGTGATTTAAGACTGCAATTGATCAGTCTGTTATTGGTATATATGCATACTGTGCATATGCCTCGATATATTGCCTTAATTCACAAGCTTTTTGTAAGCAATGATAGATAGTGGATAACTTGATGGCGTTTGAAGCGAATGGTACTGAGTTCGAGTCCCAGAGTGAACATCAACTCTGAGATGCAGACACATCCAGCTGACGAGTCCCAAATAGGACGAAACGCGCATCCTGGATTCCACTACTATCCACTATCCATCATTGCTTACAAAATATTACGTTTTGTTGCTATTTTATCATTTATATATTATATTCATTTGGAATTTCATTTCTCTAATGTTAAGCTTTTCTACTTTTTTTTAAATGTTTCTAGTTGTAAAGTGTATGTATATTTTATGTTTAGTGATGTTAAAGATGTCTTTGTTTATTAATACTACTGATCAGAATATGAGTAGTTAAATAATGCCTACTTTAAGTTGTCGTCGTAACGCAAAGCGGTGTGACTATAATTTATGAACGACCTCTGAGTGACGCTAGAGACCCTGAGAATATCCACCTATATACTACGACTAAATGAGGGTTATAAACCAGCATGAGGAATTAAGAATAATATTTACAGTTGATGGTTAGGGTTAGGAATCAGATATAGGGTTTCCATCACGAACTGACATCAGCTATAATGCCAAAACTCTATTTAACCATATGGATGAGTGAATTTTGCGCCAAAATTCAAGACCCGTTATCATAAATCTGATTGGTTCGTCCGTAAATTATAGTCTCGTCCATAAAGCAGAGTCGGTGAATGATATTAAATCTTTTACTCAAGATTTCCCTATGATGATTTAATTCTTTTCTAGCTATTTAGATATATCCCAGTAATCATAGATGAAGTTGTATATCAGTAGGTCTTTGGTTAAGGAATTTGATTTCCAACCACTATATCACGATTTCAAGTCACTTTTTCCTTCCTATTTAGATGTACTTGTTGTATTACTAGTTCTCATACAGAGTGTATTTCACACTAATCTGTACGTACTAAGTAACATAACAAGGTAAAACTGCACACAAATATGTTTTGAACCGGCATGACTAGTGGCATGCATCAGTTGTGTTTCTATTTCCAAGCAGTAAGTTTTGCCTTCACTTACTTCGGTTTGACTAGTCAGGCAGTATCACAAGTTTTAACATGGAACATTCAATTCAAAAGGGAATACGATAAATGAATTAAAAGAACAAAACGTTTTCGATAAATTTATTTAAAGCAAGAATTCAACTACTAAGCTCCATTAACCAATAGCTTATCAAATGAGTTGGATTTTAATTCATTTTTCATATTCATTGTTTTAATCTTCCCATTTTATGTTCAAGATTGTAACTATTCAGTTTAAAATAGAACAAAATAAGTGTGTTGTATTCTGTTACTTGTGACATTAGTCAATCCCTACAGAATGCATATATATTAATAAAAGTCTGATTAATCAAAGTCCTAAACATCAATAAGAAGATTTAAACAATCGGCGAGACTGTAATTTATAAACGAACCAATCAAGTGTATAAGATAACAATTCTCGGGATTTGGCGGGAAATCTACCCATCCATTTGGCTAAATAAAGTTTTGACATTATAGCTGATGTCAGTTCGTGATGAAAACACTAAATCTAATTCCTAACCTTAATCATCATTTGTCAATCATAATTCTAATTCCTCACAGAGGTTTATAACCTTCACTTTGGTCCTGGCTATTAAGCGGGACACTCTGAAGGTCAGTCTAGCCTCGCTCAAAGATCGTCCATAAATTACAGTCTCACCAAATAATCAATACAAAACGGAATCATTCATTGTTTAATGGGTTTATTTATTCATAATATCTAATTATACATTCGTATATTTCTTCTATTTATCATTTACTTTTATATTCTGTTGTATATATTATACATATGTAAACATCAGCATAAATTATCAACATTGTAGATTGAATGAGAATATAAAGAAATGTTTCTATGCGATATGTAAAACCAACTACAAAATGAATAAAATCGATATTACTACATGTTTTAATGATAATTACAGTAATGGTAATAATATTGTAAACTTACCTGGAGCCGTGTTCATGGTGATCAAGAATGCTATGACACTTGGTGGAGGCTCACCATTGCACCTCGGTGGGTTAAAATCCACGATGAACCCTAATCGGGTGCGCTCAGGCGTGTAGTTATTGTCAGTGCTCCCAGGTTTTCCATGGTGGTCTAGCTTCAATTGACTCATGATCTCAAATATTAAAATATACATAGATTGTTTGGCAAACTTGTGGAGTTTAGACATATCACTGTGTTGACCAGGAGTATTTGAATCAAATGGTTTCGGGTGGTGGTAACATGAAATCTCTTTTCATAACCCATAATGTCAACGATGAAAGAGATAGGATACGTGTTAGCAAACTGGTAGTTCATTTTTTTTCCAAACGTTCAATACATACGAGTAAGATAGAACGGGGACAGGAAGCAGATGGTATGAAAATGTAGGAACAATGAAGTCTGAGATAATTGACCGATATTCGCAAAAGGAACAGTCGAGTTAAGACAATTGATTGACATTTTGCAAAAAAGTATTTACTGTATTGTTCTCAGATTTTACTAAGATGTTCTGTAATTTCGTATTCAAATACATTCCATTGTCTTCAATTTTATTCTCGTTCACTCCATATCCATCATAGTGAACAACCAATTTCTTCAACAAGAATGCATTTCCAAATATTGTTATATCAGGTTAAACTTGATAGACTTGAGAAAATCAACCCCCTAAAATCCTAATTTCGCACTCAGAAATAGTACTTGTAGCAAGGGACTTTAATACCCAAGTAGGTAGTTTAAACCAAACAGAAAGTCATTTAGGTGGGTATTTTAGTATCTCCGATCAGCGAACAGATAGTGGTGATCATCTGCTGCAACTGTGCTCAAACAATGGTTTATTTTTAGCAAACACTAATTTTAAGCATAAGGAGAGACATCGTCTAACATGGCGACCCCCTACATCAAACCAACGATGGAATCAAACAGACCATATTGCCACCAGTCATCGTTGGAGAGGCTCGATAGTAGACCATCGCTCGTTCTGGAGTACCTGTTTGGGTTCCGATCGTGCTGTAATACGAGCATGCATTTACTTACGCCTCACTGGACGCAGAAAAACCACATTAAGAAGACCTATTTAAATTGAATTGAGTGACGAGAAAGCCAACTATTTTTTTCTGTACTATATTGTTATATACAATCTTTCTTTCATATATTACCACCATTGAATGAACTATTATGAATTCGGTGTTCATCTTGTTGTGTTAATGAGTTATGACAAATTGAACTGATGCAAATATGTGCCTGGTCCTACATTGTAGCTGTCTGACTGACTTAATTTCATCGTATTTATTTCATGAATGAATTTTTAATCGTATCTATTAGTTTTACTGTTATCTTTTAAGTCTTCGGTTATAATCACACATTGGATTACGGCAATTGAGTTACATTACTAGCCCTCACGCAAACCATGTAACTCTAACTGTAATAAACTTGTATTATTAGTATCTTGACTCGTTTACAATCACAATTTGAATCGATCTGCAGTTAACATCAGGTCGTAAATATATGGATATAATTTTCAATATATTTACATTATACTACTTCTATTATTTTTTTTTAGAAGGGTCAATTCTTAGACAATTTTTTATCGGCTTACTTTTCATCATGTCATCCACAACCTATAGAAAGTGATATCAATAATTTGGAAAGGATTAAATGGAAATCTTCATCCGTTCATTCTACAACTGAAACTGGTATTTACTCTACTTCTTTTGATCCATTATTAAATACTACTAACAATCATATAAGTAACACTAATAATGTTATTGGTGATACTACGTTTCATTTTTCAACAACTTCATCAACTAATGTACTACAGGATAGAAATCTTATACATAAATCAAATTATAATAATTTTAAGGTGGATACATATCCTGTAGAGAAAAATATAGATTATTATAGTCGTTATGTATTAAATTCACCGCAACATAAACATCAAAGTCGTACAAGTTTAGATCATCGTCTACGTTCACGTATCTATTGGAATAATGCGGGATTAACGTATGAAAAACAAAAGGATACAATAAATCAGGTAAGTCACATATTTCTTCCTGTTCTGAAAATAAGAAGTATTCATAGTTCAGATCATGAACTGATCATAGTTAAACTACTATTGGAAACCTGGAAGCACTGAACGATCATTTCGTCCTAGTATGCAATTCCTAAGCAGTGCACATCTACGAACCCTCACCTAGAAATCGAAGTTTGTTCTTTGTGTATGAGGGAGATATGGTACGTTTGGTGGTGTTGAGTTCTCTGAGCTGAGATGGTTTAATAACGGAGCTTTCATCGTCATTCTAGACAACATTCTCATTATGCCTACTTCATTAATAACTCAATACTCTACCTGTGTTTGTACAGAGTAGTCACTAGTTTGAAGTCACAACTTCACTATCAAAGGTGAAATTAGTTAATTGTGGTTTAGCTGGTAGGAAAACTAATGTTGTTAAAACTATTTGATCTTTGTTAATTTGTTTCCGTACTTCAAGGGATAACTGAGTATTGACTGTGATCGGGAATAAGTGACTATACGTAACCACATGTACCGATAAGAGTTTACAAACTCATACCCATACTTATCTTATATCTTCTAGCAATAAAACTGACTCAGTAGTAGTATTGTAGTGAAGGAGAACATAGGTTAGGACAACCGAATTTTATTTGGCACAAAATTACAGAGTTATTTAGTAAAATAGTAAAACCATACTCTAATACTTAATTTGCAAAATTTTTAGAAATTGTCTCAGACTTCATTGCTCCTGCATTTCTATACCAATTGCTTTCTACTACCGTTTTTCCCTTCTTGGTCTCCTCAATCTTCTGCTGCCAGATATTATATTTCTGACTCGTGTTATATACTACTTATATCAATATAAGTAGCACACACCGCAGTATTACTACATCCAAACAATGGCTTGAAGACACTGATGATCGAATACATGCAGTCTACAAAAGCAAATTTGTTTATCAACCTCAACTTCATTTTTGTGCCTCAGAAAATATTCTATAATTGATATCATGAAACCGATCAATGTTAGACCACCATTCAAAACGTGGATGCACACTGGTAAAGAGTCTCATACTTGGATGAAACTACCATCCAGTGCCTCGGGATTTTCAATGGTGGTCTACAATTGATAGGTCCCATGACGTCAATTAAAACTCAACAATCTCCACAACCCTTGTCAGTGACTATCTTCGAGAGGAAATTCTCAGAGTTCTAGTGAGAGTCCGTGACCAATGGAGTTCAACTGTGAGACAGTTACCCCCCGAAGACAATGAAAGATTCCCGCGCAATGTCTCGGATTAGTTGAAGTTAGACATTCACGCCTTTGGATACCGGCTCAGCGATCTCAAGGTTAATCGTTCTCGCGCGAGCCCGACGGTCTTGCGTGCGGGATCGTGAATGCACACTGCTAAAGAGTCCCATACTAGGTTGAAACGGCCATTCAGTGCTCCTAAATGCTCAATGGTGGTCTAACATTGATCGGCCCATAATCTTTATTTATTTATTTGAACACACATATTGGTACAAACAAGCACCGAATACATATGCACCACACAAGTCACTTGATTAATGTATAGGCTATGATACTGTCCAGGTACCCAGACCGAAGCACGTAGTTTTCTTAGGAGGCCACACTGGGAGCCTTTGATCTTAAGGTCTGATCCACAAGACAGTAAAACAACATGAGGAGATTCAGTCTCATGGTATCCGGTGACCAACGGTTTGTTTATATGCCATTTGTTCCTTCAGGAGACTGTAGCCCATATGCACCATTGGTTTGGAATGAGGGTTTTTCAACTCATCTAGGTAGATCCACCATATCGACCAACCCAGTTAAAGCATTGAACATTCACTTTTCATCCTCTCAATTTCTTCAACAATTGATCCCTTCACGAGAATGCAATGAGTAGGATTCCCCTGGTAGTGGCAGTATATGCGTGGCGGCCATGTGAGAGCATTTGGAGAAGGAGAGCTAACTCTTCTCATCCTTAGCGTTATTAGTGCATTTTGATCTATCGGTTTCAATTCAACAGCCTCCATAACCCCCAATACTGATCAATATTTTATACTTTATTATAAAATTTTTAAAAAAGTTTTTTTTAATTTTATTTCTAGTCATCTAACTTATCAACAGTTCATTTAACAAGTTTATCTGAAATCATTTTATATTTTTTGGACAAAATTATCACATTATTATCAACCACATGTTTTTCAAATGATAAGAAATTCTCTCTCCATTCAAATCATTCACAACTATCATCTAATGTTGAAATGATATCATCTTCATCATCATCGACAACAACAACAGCAGCAGCCGCCGTCGCATCATCTTCATCTATTCAAAGGATGAATTCATTACAAGAAATCAATATAGATAATATAAAATCATCAATTGATCCTTGGGATATTACTAATCCATATTGGAATGAAGCATTTTTAAATGGTCCATCTTTATCAAATGTAATGACTACTTCTCCTCCTCCTAGTCCTCCTTCTCCACCTTCTACTACTACTACTAATACTACTATCACTACTACTAATACGAATCATATTACTTCAAGAAGTCATCAGTCGTCGTCGTCGTCGTCGTTAACATCATCATCCTCATCATTGGAACCTAAACTAGATCCTATTCCATCATCGACTACTATCAATTCACATTATATACCAATAATATCTATTACTTTCAATGATATTTATGATGCTATTTATGAATTCTATTTATTTATTATAAAACAATGTCAATTCTATTTTTATTATTTAATTTATAAAATAATTATGATTTTATTAATTTATTTTAAATCATCTATTAATTATTGGTTAATGAATTATTTTATAAAATCTATTTATGAAATATTTTCTGATGAGAATTTAGCTCATATATTAAATAATATTAAAAGTAAGTTAAATAACTTCTTCTTTTTCTCTCTGTTGTTGTTGTTGTTGTTTTTCTTTCTGTTTTATTCTCTCTGTTATGTAACACTTCAATATCTATGATCAAAATTTATATCAATCTCATGTGTGACCACTGAGATGGTATCCAATAGTGTTCATGTCTAACCTCAACCAATCCATGAAATTATGCGATCATCTTCTATTGTATTGAGATAGATCTCTGTCTCTCATGAAGCTAGTCACTTATGAGCAAATGATAGTTATCAGTATGGAGTTGTAGAGATTATTAAGTTTTTGAATGAGATCATGAATCGACTGATGTTAGACGACTTTAGTATTAAAGGTCGTCCATTAATTATAGTCTAGCCAAGGCGATTTATCCAATATTATATTAAAGATTCCAGATAAACAAAATTGTTCTCAATATTTTGTACGTGAATTCAGCTAATCTTATCCTGGATTAATTGAAGTTAGACATGTACACCACTAGTTATCAGGTCAGTAGTTTAAACGTTAAAAATTCACGCCCGAGACCGAAGGCCGTGAGTTTGATTCCCAGATACCTAGTCGTAGATGTGAACTCCTGAAGAGTTCCATACTGGGATGAAATGACATTTCATTGCTTCAAAGCTTTTGATAGTTGTTTTCGCTTAGGTCGTTTCATGGTTTTGACGTAATTATCTTGCTATATTTATCTATTTTCTCTGACCCCAACCGTAGCTGCTACCTTGACGTGGTGGTCGAGCTTACCTATCGTAATGACTCTGTTGATCGTAAGGTTCTATCGCAGTGTTTGTCACTGAAAGGAGTACCAAAGAAGTACATGAACCTTATAAAGGCTCTCTACACGAACCCAGCAGGTCGAGTGATAACTTATGGCGAACTGTCATCAGAATTGATTACCTCAAGTGGTGTTCGTTAGGGCTGTTCACTTCCACCATTCTTGTTTAACTTTGTCGTTGACGTGCTTTTAGAGATAACACTTTCCTCATCTAAATTTCCAGGAGTTGAACTTTTACTGGAAGATTCACTTGTTGACTTAGAGTATGCCGATGACATAGTTCTATTTGGTGAGCACACTGACAAAATGCAGAGTCTTCTGACCTCTATAAGCAACAATGCAAGCATGTTCTGGATGCGATTCTCCCTCTCAAAATGCAAAATGTTGCTTCAGGATTAGGTTGCATTGGCAAGCGAACTAATTATAGGGAGTGAAGTAGTTCGGCGTGTCGACTACTTCGCTTATATTGGGAGTTTCTCACCAGCCCTTGTGGTCTAGTGTCTGACGAAATCTCACCACGAATACCGAAGGCTCGATCGGCTTTTGCAAACTTGCGTCACTTACGGCGTAGACGAGATATTCGTCTCTCAACCAAAGAACGGGTTTACTGCTCAGAAGTTTGTTCCGTTCTTCTACATGGCAGTGAAACGTGGCCGGTAAGAGTAGACGATATTCGTAGGTTACTAGTATTCGAAGCATTGCTTATATATCCTGGGACCACCAAGTAATTAATGCAATTGTTAGGAAACTGGTACTAGGTAAGAATGGCAACTTCATCAGTTGAGATGTCTGAGACATGTGTTACGTATGCCCAACCACCGACTGCCCCGATGTGCGAACTCGTACTGATGTACGTACAAACATGCGAAGTTCCACGTTGTTGCTTATTATAAACTTTCATCACAAAAATCTTTTTAACATCAAATAGTATTCGTCTGGATTCTCCGTTTTCACAATATAAGGCGCGCTATCACTTAGCTACTTGACATTGAACTGATTTCCAATAGGACTTAGATATCTACAGTTGATTGATAACTAACCACTGATCATTACCATGTTTATCTAACAGCTGCAAGTCAAATAGTTTAATCACTGAGCTATCACTCTACTTTCAACTAGCTGAATATACACATTAAGTTAGTTATCCATATAAAAGAATTCTAGTCTTCAAGTATATTTCATTAAGAGATAATTTTACATTTGACTAAATGTTAACTAAATTTTCTTTTTTATTCATTCATTTTTTTTTCTATTTTATTATTTAGCAAGTATATTCTTTCATTCTTCTAAAAAGTAAGTATGTTTATGATTTAACATCTTCGTCAATTTATGTTAATATAACTTGAATAAAATGTAACCTATTGACTTGATTTTTCTCGGATTACCTCATCTCATACATTTTATTGAATGGTTTCTGTTATCACTTGTATCCTGAATACCCTGTTAATGTTTAATGTAATGATATTGGCAATTAGAGAACATTGAATTATCGATCGAGCCAATGATGCATAAAACCCATACGAGTAGTTTAGAGTCATTATCGGTTCTGCTTCCCGTCTAGTCCAGCCTGTTAAGTCTAGAACACCAATCTCAGCCTACACGATATGAATCATGTATTTCAAACATATTGGGTTTATATACCAACCAGACAGATCACAACGGACCAATAAGATAGGAAACAACATTTGTATAATATTTAGCCAAAAGTGTCTGTGAATGTGGGAGGCAACGACTAAGAGACAGGGCATAACTCAAGAATGATAAATGGTATAATAATAGTTCATAGGTCAAAATAAAGTTCATAATAGAAGGGACACGAACATGAACAGTTTAGTTACTTAACAATCATACGATAAAAATATACGCATAGTATTGGTCTATAAATGGATTCCAAAAGTAACCATTCATTATTCTCATTGGGATATAACAGTTTCGTCTTTTGTTTCAACATTGCACACATATTTCAAAACTATAGTATGAGTAATACTGTAGTGAATAGCAACAGGAGTTGGAACAATCGAATGTATTTGAATATGAAATTACAGAATATCTCTTTAAAATCTAAGAACCATACAGTAAAGCTTATGACTTCAGACACTATCGAGGCAATCCACCCAGTATGCATATATGCTAACAAAGGACTTGTCAATTTCAGTTTTAAAATAACAATGGTAAGATACAAGTAAACAACAATACGAAGTGAACATACAGTAAAGACTTAATTTGCAAACTTAGTTTACTTACACCTGTTACTCCCAATGAAGCACTGGCAGCCAACCAGTATTCTCCAACACACTTTGTCCTGGGCCTTCTTTTATAGTTCCATCCAATTCTTGTTCGTTTTTCTCATGTCTATTTCCATTTCCCGGCGTAATGTGTTCTTCGGTCTTTCTCTTTTCCTTTGACCTTGTGGATCCCATGTGAGGGTTTGCCTTGTGATGCAGTTCGCTGCTTTCCTCAATGTATGTCCTATCCACTTCTAGCGCTTCTTCCTGATTTCTTCCTCCACTGGGATCTGGTTTGTCCTCTCCCACAGTGGGTTTTTGTTAATAGTGTCTGGCCAACAGATCCGAAGTATTTTGCATAGACATCTGTTGACAAACACTTGTATCTTCTGGATGACGGCTTTCGTTTTGCTCCAGGAATTTACAAAACACCAATCCATTTTCTTAAACTTGACTGTTTCTTTTGAAAATATCATTCCATTATATCGGATTTCATTGTTCCTGCGTTTTCATAACAATTACTTCCCGTTCTCATTCTTTCCTTCTCGATCTTCTACTGAAATACATTTTATTCCTGACTGTCGTCTTATACTACTTATGTGGATATAAGTAGCTCACTAATACTGCTGACATTTAGACGCTTAGTATTGGACCAAGATAATCAATCGCTTGATAAGATTGTTTATCTTCATCGATGAATATGATTTGGACATTCGTCTCCGCTGATCATATCTATTCATTGAAACTCTTGAAATTTCTATTTGAGATCGGGTTTAAAGATCCTAGGTTCGACCCCATGACAGGGTCGCACACACTGATACAAAATCATTTTACGTACATATTGATTGAAATAAATTGATTGAATCACCTATTACAGTTTTATTAAATTGTTTTATCTACTCTAAATCATACATTTCACAACTGCAACCATAGCGAAAAATATCCTGTAAAGAATTTCCACAGCTATGAAGAGTATTTAGTAGATTTATAGCTGAACAAGGTTCTTTGAAATTGTTAACTAAGATCAGTCTGTGAAGTTAACCCTGTAAAATTCCACAAAACCTATAATAATAATAATTTACTCACTTTTTACTAATTTTGAGAGTTAGTTCCCGTAGTTCTAGTGAGAAACTATGATCATTAGAGTCCACCAATGACAAGTTTAACACATTAACCCACGAATTATATTCAAAGATGATTAAACAATATCTCAAATGGATTAGATACTGACTCTACAGATCAATTGCTAATTGCAAAACCTGAAGATTCTGGTTTTAGTCCCCAATAGGGTTTCGAATGGTCGTTACCGAACGAAACAACTAGCCAGTGATTCCTAGTTTTTAATGTTGTTTTTTTTTAAACCACCATCATCATCAATCCACTACTTGTATAAAATTAATTCATTATGAATACTTTACATCTTCATAGAATTGATATGGATAAGTCAGAACGTAAAGAAAAAGCACGTATTGCAATTGAAAAAGCAATTCTAAGTAAGTATTTACATTATATTGAGTATTGCATGTTTTTTTTCTTTGTGTAATTTTGTTAAGAAAATTGTAATGACCATGTGGCTTATTACTTTAATTTTAATTGAGAAACCACTACAATTTCTGTGTTGCGCGAAATAACAACACAGAATATGGATACAAGTAAAGATTTATTAAGACATTGTGTTCTGGTTAGTGTTTTCTTAGTGAGTTAGTTTTCTACGGGATGGGGTCGCTAACCCCATGCTCAACCCTCCTCCTTTACCCGGGTTTGGGACCGGCAGTAACTCTATAAGAGCTACAGGCGGAGTTAAGACATTGTGTTAGATCAGACATTCTCTGATGTTCAAATTGACCTATAGATTCAGTTTAGGGTTATTAGACGTGACTGACTGAATCATCTGACATTAAGGATTAGCGATGTGTTGTGTTTTAAGTTATTACTTATCTCTCACTCTCCCTCCTAATGTTCCATCTTGATATCATCCACGCTACTAAAACAGCATCAAACAGATTAGTGAATAACAAATTTGTATATTTTAATTTTTATGCTAGATAGTTGAAAATGTTTGATTAGGATATATATGGACCCTATGTAGTTCTCATGCTATTTTCACACTTATTATCAAGGTGTCATTATTTACAAACTTAAGATAAATGATGTTTCTTGTAGTAGTTTGGTTTGGCCGCTCCTAACTTTTTTCAATCATCCCCTACACTAGTGAGAATTGCGCATCATGGTAATCAGTGTTGAGGCATACGTAACACGTCGTCCAACCATCTCAATCGATGTAGATTCACAATCTCATCAACTGATTTACCATCATTCAACATCTAAATATGTTTTCAAAATCCTGTTGTAAAACACTAGGATAGGCAAAATGAAAATTGTTGCAACTTGGACGCCACGTCCTGATACACACTACTTACAAACAATGTTGTGAGCAGCGTTCACTACACTACTAGTTTAGTCGTAGACTTATTTTTATCATCATAAATTTAAATGATTGAAATCGTTAGAAATCTTTTTTATAAGTATTCCAGAACTAAATTCATTTAACGGATCACTAAATAACAGGGACCATTTAATAGCTTATTTTTCCAAGCTTGGGAGTTAACTAAAGTTAGAAATGTTAACCGATGGATCCTAGCTCAATATACTGAATGATTAATCGCTCCTTGTTAAGCCTAATAGCTACTAGGTTCAGTCCCTCATTGAGTAGTACATACACACTACTGATAAACTCCATACTACAGCTGTATAACTGTCCAGTTGTTCCTGGTTCTCACTGTTCCTGTAAATAAATTCGGTTTGTAATGTAAAATTAGAAAATTCAGTAATTCTCACAACCCTCTCCATTATAACTGCCATTATTGCCCCCAAACGCCCTGTCTCGGCAGACAGCCCGCTCTTCCTTTCGAAATACTCTGGCCACATATATACAGCCGTTGTTAGGTAAGTCGTACTCACCGTTGTGAGGACAAGAAGCAAATGTTCGGCGCATAAACCAGGTTGATGGATGTAGAGGATCAGCCTAGGGGGGTGGGGTGGAAAACCCTGATTCCAAACCAATCGTGCACATGGGTCCCAGAATCCTAAGGAAACAAATGGCGTATAAGCCTGATATTGGTTAGTGGTTACCATGGGACTGCATCTCTTAACGTTGCTCCACTGCCTTGTGGATCAAACCTCTAGGTGGAAAACTCGGGGTTTGATCATTTAAGAGAATCCTCTGTTGGGCACCTGGGCAGCATTCCATCCCTCACACAAATCATCAAATGATTTCTGTTGCACTATTATATTCACTGCCTTCTTTTACTAATGTTATATATGTTCAAATAAGCAACCCCTATTGTTATATGTGATGAGCTTAATTCTTCTCTATCTATATTTCTATTCTTCCATTATTATTTTAGATATAACGGGTCTTTCATATTTCACTGATTTAGAAATTATACATGATCAGTTAAATCGAATATTTGATTGTTTTCAATATTCTAAATGGAATAAACAATTAACTTATATTTTATTAGATCAATTCCTTTTAGAATTATTTCCGGAACTTCATTTAAATAATACAAATAATGATGATATGAATACTAATTCTTCTCATACTAATACTCATACTACTTATACTACTACAAATACTAACACTAATGCTACTACTAATACTACTTATACTACTACAAATACTAACACTAATGTTACTACTACTACTGCTAATGATAATAGTGATATGATGCTTAGAGTATGAATTAGCTTCTCATGATTATTATCTCTTATAATACATACATGAAATATTATTGTACAGAAATTATATTTGTGTAAAATTCATTTTGTTTACTTTGAGATTATTATTATTTCATTGTTTTTATGTGAATTGTCACACACACACACACATGCCAATGTACCCCCCACCCTCTCTCTATATATATACTCAGATACACAACTGTATATGGATTGTCATATTATACAATAGTTATATAATCATTTGAATTACATTTTTATTGTCCTTTACTGTATACTGTTTGTTCGTTGTTGTTGTTGTTGTTAGAAATCAGTTGCTTGTTTCATTCAGTTGTTGTGATAAAAAAGAAAACGAAAACAATTATGCCCTTACATAATCATATTATTATTATTATTATTACAGATCATGTTTAATGTAATATAATGGTGAACAGATATGTATATTGATATGAATCTAATTTCATTGAAATTAATCTCAATGTAGAAATAGTAATAAAACATTGATATAACACTTTGTTTACTTGTGTACACATTTACATACATACATACTCTCTCTCTCTCTCTCTCTCTCTCTCTATATATATATATATATATATATATATATATATATATATATATATATAGAGAGAGAGAGAGAGAGAGAGAGAGAGGAAGGCATGGATACAATTACTGTTGTTTATTGTACAATTTGTCTTTCTTTGTTTTTAATTGTTTGTTTATTTATATTTAGATTATGAAATTAAATACACATAGGGGGTACCAAATAGATATACACCCACACACAATAACAATGAGGCTGTGAAGAGATAAAGAATGTTAGATTAGTTTGTTTGTTTTTTAAGAAAAAAAGGGGAACAACAACGAACAGAAATTAGTGTATAATAGTGAAATAATAATAATTGGCGAAACAGTTCAATAAACAAAGGTATAACCAGGACGAATTCTTCCAGTTAAAGAAGTTTCATCCGTTTTTAATGAAGAAAGAGAAAGGAATTTACTGTGGATTCACCACTTTCTTTCATTCTGATCTATTTCCGATGATGTCTCTACCTATTGTGTTGCACAATCTCTAAGATCCCAATCAGGGAGTTGTGAAAGACCAACAGAAATCAGTTCTGTACAGCTTTCTTATATACCACGACACTGTCATAAATTGATCACCTTTCCGATTTTTTTTTTGACCACTCACAGAGTCGGCAGATAATACACAACGTGGAATTCTCTGGGACAATATTCATAGAACATGTTTAAGTCATCGAAGTTGATGTTTCGAGATAGTGAATTATTATCGCCGCGCCTGAACATACGATGATGAACTTCTACATCACTAACATGGTGTCGCCACTGAATGTCATCAATCCTTCGGAGGAAATATAGATCAAACGCAGAGTCGTCTAACATGCTCAACTTGGAAAGGCCGGTTTTCACAAGCATAGAGCATAAGTGATCTCACCGATGCTCTTTAGGTCCGACCTTCAACCACACTAACATCACGAAAGCGCCAAAGATGGTTCAAATTGGCATAAGCGGCTCTGGCTTTCACTATATGTTGATTGATTTCACTACTCACGCTCACATCAGACTTCTGCAAGTGACTCAGATGAGTTGGAAGAGCTTCCAGTAGTTACCAGATGCAGCTGCTGCTTCCAACTCATTGGCACTCTCTAACCACCAGGCTTCTCTGTCCTTATGCAAGCCTAGCCCAATTTCATTACGTAGCAGTCGTCGTATGTTGTCAAACTCATGGTCACTTGGAGTAGACCGACGGGTATCAATGAGCTTGAAGAAACCTAATGCTTTTAAGCGGGATGTTTTGCGAAGCCACAAGCGGCTTTACTCGCCATTTTGATGGCGTCATGAAGTTGCAACCAATGCTCATCCATACTTTCCGATGGAATGATAGCTAGCCTTGAACGTAGCTTAGTTTGATATTTAGTTGCAACAGAAGCTGCAACCAATTTACTGATATTGATCCGTTTAGGACGATGGATTTGTTAGCCACTGAAAAGTAAGGTAAGATTAGCGCAAACAAGGGCATGATCAGAGTCCAGATAGGTAATCCGAAAGGAGCGGCAGTCTTGTACACAACCACGCCAGTGGTAGCTGTTCGCGATGTGATCAATCTGAGTCCATGCTTGAGATGCAGAGGGAGGACGCCAGGTGGCACATCGGCGATGATTGTGCCGAAAGTTAGTGATAGCCAGAAACAGGTTTTCGTCTGTGCACAGTTGCAGCAGGCGGTTCCCGTTATCTGTCCTGCGACCAACGCGTCATCATCGGCCATCTAAATGACTTCTGTGCCTAGACGCCCGATCTGATCAAGCTAGTACTACAATACCTGTCGAACGCACTTTCTGGAGAAGAACACTTAACTGGTGGTAAAACTCATCCTTGATTGCATCCGGGCTGCAATCTGTCTGGGCATAGGCAAAGATGACTAAAAGACATCGTTTCTCACGCCGATTTCTTCTTACTTTGATGGAACTTTCTAATCTAACAGCACGTAACCGGATCCAATCGATTAGTGCTGCCTCAGCTCTAGCTCTTAGTGTGACACCAACGGGAGAGAGATTAGTGACGCAGTATATAAAAAAACAAAAATCAATTCTATCAAGTGGATGTGAGTTGTCTAAATTTTAATTGGAGCAAGAACAGTAATCATTGCCATTTTATTTTTCTGTGGGCTGTGATACTGCCCGGGTGCCCAGACCGAAGCAGGCGGTTTTCTTAGGAGGCCACACCCGAAGCCGTTGACCTTGAGGTCTAATTCTTAAGACAGTCGAACAACGTAAGAAGATAAAGTCCAACGGTAGCTGGTGGCCAATAATTGGTTCATACGCCTTTGTTCCCTCAGGATCGTGGACCCCATGTGCACCATTGGTTTGGAATGGGTGTTTCCGATTCGCCTAGATGGCTTTTCCGTATCCATCAACTCGGTTGAAGTGCCTCTCGTTCTTCAATTTTGTAAAGAACACTCCCGCGGAGAGAAGGCATTGAGTAGGACTTCGCAGTCAGTAGCTGTTTATATGTGGTCATGTGAGAGCATTTCAAGAGAGAGAGCTCAATTCACCGTCGGACATACTAGGGCATTTGGGGGCGCATTACACTTGATGAATCACTTACTATAGTGTTTTAATAAAAACCTTTCTGTTATGTAAAAGGGATAAGTGAATGTATTTAGAAGAAAGAAACCAGAAAAGTAGTACCACATATATGTTTGAAGTATTAGTAAAAGTGTATTAGATGAGTGAGATAATCAGAATTGAGAAAATGACCGTTAGTGGGTTTCTGCCTAGGAATCAGTTCATAGATCATATATTTATCACGTGTTCATTATATATGCGTGCGATATCGAGCAAATTCAGATATCTTTCTATTCATTTAATGAATGAAGGCTACATGTTAAGGGATAATTTTAAACTGAGGATTTCATTTTAAGTAATAACTTTTATTATATATTTTCCCGTTCTGTAATTTAGGGTATTCTCTATTGTCCGCTTCATAGAAAGCATATATGAAAAGCTTCTGATGACTGGAATAAACATATCCGGTAAAAATCATAGTTTTATAATAAGCACTCATTAGATGGGCCGAACCATTTCAGATATTGCATTTTTATGATTAACTTCACACTCACAATGTAAGTTGTTGCCTTTCGTGGAGAAGTTTAGGCGTAATGCTTCACTTAGTCTTCCCTTTTCCATTTCCTTTCAAGTTTGGAAGTTAACGTTTGTCTGGTGATGCAATTAAAGAACACATCAAACTCAAAATTAACTCAGCCAACATCGAATTCAGAATCTTCGAATTATCTCTACAAAAGATCACTTTGTATTTTAGGGAAGTGAACAAGAGTTTGCTTCAAGAATTTCCTCTACACTTTTCATGTCTACTTCTGCTATGATATCATTTCAACACTCTTCAACTGTATTATCAATTCCGTTGAAAAGCACTTCTAATATTTTTATAACTTCCCAAATGCTTGGAATCATGTCAGCAAATACAGGAAGAAAAGCACCAGTAGGTTGATCTGAGCTGTTCAGTGAAGTTCTTTTCGAATAGCAAAGTCGGATAAAGTTTCAACAAAAGAATTTAATTAAACTTCACTTTCTTCTGTTAGCTAATGACCACGTAGTTCCGATACTGACACTCTGAGTCTGTTGTATGATATGTTGAGTCAGCTTTCCGAGAACTGAAATGGAGCCGAAGAACCACCTAATATCAACTATATGGCATGAGTAGCATGTCATAAATCCTTTTTCATACTACGGGTCAACTGATTGTATTTCATAAATGGTAAGGCTGGTGTTAAGTGAGCTACAAGGTTTTAATGGCTTCTTATTGTATCACTTCAAAATCTCTTTATTCGTGATTCCGTTCGTAGATATAATCGTGTTTTGCATTCTTCCAATTCTTGGATGAAACTACGATCCAGTGAGAATAGTTAGCTAAAGTATGAATGACATTTTTTATTGCAACTGATATTTGTACAACTGTAATTGATATTGTTACGAAGTAGTGCTTTTTGCATCAGTTGTTAAAACTTGTTATTAATAAGTAAATTTCCATTAGGATCGCTTGTTCTAGTTCTGATGATTGGTAGAAATCAACTATATTGCATTACGTTTTCGATTTCGAACGTAGGTACTCTAGCCACGACTGGATGTTAGCATATTTATTCAAAGCCAAAACAGATCATTGAAATCGCACTTTTGTAATCTCTGAAGTTTCTATGCATCACTACAAGCATGACAACACGTGTATTGCAATAAAAATAAAGCTTCAGTAGTTATACGATAAGCAGATGATACTGTGTATTCGGCGTCCAATATACTCAAAGGGAAGCGCTTTTAATTGAGAAATAGGATTCTAAAATTTACAGTCTCCCACTATATCTATTGATAACGCCTGAAAATTCTTTCAGGAATGAAACCATTGAATGAGATTTTAGTCAGCTATTACCAACCATCGTCCATCAGTTTCAAGTCTCTACCTAACGTCTATCACATCTCTACAGACACTCAGTTAAACAACATATTATTACAGGAATTTCTAATCATCGAACTGTGGAAGCGTCATAACACGCTTATAGTCATTCGCCGTTCTTTCGTCTTGTCTGCATTACAGATAATTTCTTAGTATATTAAGCGTTTATTGCTTTCACGAAACATTCAGTTTACCACTTTTTCTTCACACTATTCCATTACAAGTGAGAAGCGGTGTCAAGCAAATCTTTCCTGGTTGTTGATTGCGTTGTGAAACCCTGAAACTTTGAGGCATAATGGGCCGGTATTTGGAGGTAAACATTCGAAGAATCAGTGGCACTTAGCAACAACGGAAAAGGATAGTTAAGGACAGAGTTTGCTGGAAATCCCTTGTCAAAGGTCATTGCTTCGAGAGAAGTAATTTTCTCCCTGTTCATAACTAACTATACGAACGTGTTATTTTATTATTGTCATATTAACTCCTTTAATGCATACTGTGTTCTCATGCGTTTACCAATCTGCTTATAACCAGATGCTAAGCTTTTCACTGATTACCACACAGACGCAATATTCAAATGCCTTTCCACACGTGTATTGTGTACTTACCTCTCACATCATTGCATTTCACTACCCTTCGTTGGTATCCTTGAAAATCTGCAAAACATGTCCATCTTACTCAAGGAGAATATAACACTGCTACTACGAGTCGAAGGAAGAATAATCTGAAGATAAGTTATAAATGCAGCATGATTAGCTTGAAATAAATGAACTCGCGGATTGGGAAATATAGAAAGGCAGCAAAACGTTATCTTGGGATACAGTAATACAAGTTACTGAGTTCTTAATGATAGATGGAATCCATTTTATGTCAAGACTACCAATTACATACATAAGAATGCTGTATTTTGTAGGACGAAGTGGATCAGCTACGCCAACTAAGTGTTGTAACTAACTCTCCCTCGATAGGGATCACCGAAACTAAATTTCGTCAAGTTACAAACCAGGAGCTGACAGTACTCGATATTGTGTTGTTTCGTGGCGACAAGAAAACTGAAAAGAGAGATAAGGTTCGCCCTAATGTCCCCACCTACTTAGTTCGGTGGTTATTATAAATTCGAGAATCTGATGATCTTAATTAATCTGAATGATGCTCGATGGGATTGTTTGTCACATCAAGATGTCTTTCCGACCTTGTCTTCAGAAGGACTAGTGACGCCAGTGGGTATAATGATCAGATATTAAAGGGATTTACTTTCTCTGTTCGTCTTTGACTCGTAAATTTGTTAATCATAAAACCCCTCGAACCCCCTGAATTCAACTTTAATGAATACAGAAAATATAGATGATTGAGCAGATTAGTTCCTTCACCTCAATGAATTACCAGGATTCTTCGAAAATAGAAGGTACGCAGCTAGGTGGAGAGTCATTCATACATCGACACGCTCAACACCCATTTTTGTCTACTGTTCCCAAAAGCTAAGGCGATATCTGACAAGCTCTCACGATCAAAGGAGTCCAAAGTTGTGAACCCTAAAGTCACCAAACGAGTGAAAATTCTTTCGATACCAACTGTAATTTATAGCCCAACAGCAACACGAAGTTAGCTAACTTTAGATTTCGTAGACAACATAATCGTATGATAAATGCACACATGACAAAATCGATTAATGTGTTATGTGTGAATACAAAGAGGAATAGAAAAGGAAGACAAGAAAAAGTTGCTATACTGAGTGTATGCATGGGCAGACATCACACATAATTGAGCACGCACACATTCATTGGTAATATAAAAACACTAGCTATTAACTATATGATCTGTTAATTTAAGAACGGGCGAACTAAGGTATTCACTGAACGTTGAATAATTAATGAAAATTAGCGAAGGTCGGCTGGAGAACGTTGGTCAAAACTGCATGGCTCAGCTACGCAGGGGTGCTTATTGTAATTCCTTCATTTTCTCTGACTACGATGAGAACTGATGGAGTCCTTCAGATTTATATGCTAGAAACCCTTCTGTTCTTATTTGACTTAAATAACCTGCTTTAGTAAGTGTCCTATACGCTACCCTTTTGCCGACGTGCAGCGTTTGAAACCAAAGCAGGAGAGGTCGTATTCAGTGAGATCTGTTAGAAATAGAAGCTCAAGAAACAAAGTTTCTTCTGTCCCCCTTCCTTCTAGTGGCAACAGGTAGGAAACGCCCAGAAGACCTCATCGCAAGATTATGTCCATTTCTAGCAAGAAAACAACAACCTGACTATTCAAGACATCGGCAATCATCCTGGATCCCATAGCAAGTGTAGCACAACGATGACTGCAAATCCAATGAATATGGATGAATAGGTACAAATCGAGAATAAGAAACAGCCGAACGTCAATAAAAAAATGCCAGCTCCCCAAACAGAATCTGAGAAATTGAAAACTGATCATATTGACTTGTCAATTATCTTTCATCAAGTCAAGATGGGTAAACTCAGAACTCAGAACTTTTGAGTATGATATCGAGTTGATAAAACAGCTAATAAACTGGCTAATACTCGAGGATTTATCTGGGTCACCTTGTTAAAGGTTTATGGACTAGGTAGCTAAATGGTCTTGTAACAGAATCAAACCAGGCTGTTAAATGAAGTATTTAAATTTCTCAATGAAAGAGACCTAATACTGCAGAATAGACATAAACTAATGAAACGACGGACTTTTGTCTACAAATACTTGCTTCTAGCGGACTGTTTGAAAAGACAGTTGGCTGAAAAAGAATTATACTTAAGGCCAGACATTTTCGAGAAGGACCTTAAAGTTTAAGATTTTCGGGTGACAAGACTTCGACAGAGGATGATGCCAAAGCCACTTTGAGTGCACCATGAAGCCATTCAAATGGTATTGAGATCTGTTACAAAAATTCTCGAAGCTCTCTCAACAAGTGATGAAAGTTGTGTGTACATATCGACTCTATTACGCAGAATGCACTCTCTACCACAGAAACGTGACGGACGGAGTCTGTAGAGAGTAGGAAAGTTTCACGTTGGTTATAGTCGATAGAATATAGAAGTATCAATGAGGAAGAGTAGCTGAATTCATTAGAAATACCATCCCCCTTAACGTTTTCATTGACGTATCCCAAGAATGTGTGATGAGCGAAGTGGTTAGCTCTCGGTTGAAATGCAAAGGAAATGGCTGCCGATTTACTCGGTTTACCACGGTTCAAACTGTAGAGTGAGTGAAGTTTTGCTAGACTCTAGGCTATTAAGTGATCAATGTTCAATCTCAGGAGACCTACGGTGGACAGAAAAATTAAAGGAGTGAGTTGTCAGAAAATCTTTTCGAATATAAAATCGTTGACGCAGTCAACAAATATGAAAGAAGCAATTAAGTACAACCCAGACTCCTTATCGTCCTTTTTAGATCTCACATTGAACCATTATGAGGATGATTTCCATGTAGTCATCAGCAACGTTGTGTCAGCCGAAGCCAAACGTTTTGAACGGCCCTCAAATGCCTCGGTATGGCCGAAGGTGAATTTAGCTCTATTTCTCCCTCGAAGTGCTCTCACGTTGCCGCACGTATACAGCAACTGACAGGGAAGTCTTACTCACTGCCTCCTCTCGGCGGGGTGTTGCTTACGAAATTGAGAGGATGAAAAGCGAATATCCGACACTTTAACCGGATTGGTGGATATGAAGGGTCCACATCCGGACGCTGCAAAACACTGGTTACAAACCAGTGGTGCACATGGGCTCCAGGATCCTCAAGGAAACAATAGCGTGTGAACCTATAGTTGGTCATTGGCTACCATCAGATCGCATCTTCAGACATCGTTTCACTGCCTTGTGAATTAGGCTGTCAGTTCAAAGGCTCAGAAAGTGGTCTCCTAAGAAAACCACGTGGTTTGGTTTGAGCACTTTTGCAGTATTCCATCCGCCAGGTAAATCAAATTATTTGTGTGCCGCATATATATTTGATGCCTCCCTGCACCAACGTTTATGTATGTAAATAAATAAATTAATTAATTAAACCATAGAATCAGAGTGTACTATTGAAAAGT